TTTCTATGGTATGATTTATTTTTGCCTCAAAGTTCATCCAAATCCGTTCAGCCATTTAACTTGATTAATTCACATATTTAAACTTTAACTCTTTTGGAAAACTCAATACGATATCTCATTTGCAAAGATTTCATTTAATGTTATTATTTGAAATAAAGGTTGTCCATTTTTTATACTTCATTTTTCATGTAAAAGAACTTTTAATATTACAAATGCTTTCGGATACAAGTTCATACTGTCACTGTAGACCAAACTGAATATGTAAATGCGCGTTCAAAAAAATATTTATATTATGCTATTGGAAAAATTGTACTATATATTTAAGTAGGGTTGGCAGCCCTAACGCCGGACATACACGGACCCAGTGTGGTCCATGTCTGCACATCGTCTGTGGCTATATGCCGGGCAGTGTCAATAGAGCAAACTGTGTCTGTTGATGTCTACGCACAATGTCTGTACCTATAAACAAATTTTAATAAATTAAAATGTTCAATATTATATGATAGATATAGGATAGAACGACAAATGTAAAGCAGAGTTGGCGGTCAAAATATGCTATTCAAGTAAACGTATATCAAGTAATAATATATCACATGTTATAATTAAGATATCAACTAGCACAATCGAATGACACACAGAAGCCATTACATTTAATTGTGTACTTGCGTGTATTATTATAATTCTTAACTAACTATATATAAGGTACAATATAAGAATGTCTGGTATTACATTTGAACTATTTTGGGCAAATGTGAAGGGTAAATATGTATATTTTTTTTTTAAATTAAAAACGGTGAAATCATACAAAGCCTGTGTAACAATTATACAGTAAGATTCACTGTTGTGGCTCACTAATACAGGTTAATCATAAGATAAATTTCGATGAGCGGCAAATGTCGGACAATTAGAAGGAATAAAATGGCATGCCATCGCTAGACCCCCGCTGAGGGTGAGTGAGACGAACATTGTCTTATATTTTACACCTTACAGTTATACATTTAAATACTTTCGGTTGTCTGGAATTCTTGGGACCGCTCTGAATAAAGATTCACCATGCGCCAAGTAGATCTTACTATACTAATACTCAACTTCCGATTAAAATGTGAGTAAATTTAATAATAAAAAAATCCAGAATTTAAATTAACCAAAAAAAAACAGGAATAGAAAATATGACGTCATTTTGCAAGCCCATATCGGAAAATTATCGAAAGCTAAATTAATAAAATCTTATCACTTCTATCTGACACTTCACTTGTGATGCATTCTCGCTATCTTGTACTTTGTGAAGTGGAATAGTTCAACAATCATTGACGCGTATTAAAAGCATTCAATAAAGAGTTACATCAGTGACTTGTCCCCTAAAGATAAAAAAATCCTACCAAAATAGTAGATTTTACATAAAACGATTTATGAACTTAGTCTAGCGATACAAAAATTTGGTTAAATACACAGATCTTGTTGCAAAGAATATAAGATTAATTTCCAAAGTATATTCTTATACATAGAATAGAAATAGTACATAATACCAATTATACGTTACTTTTTTAATAATGTCAGTCAAGATATACCAATAGTTAGATAGCAAAAGGGTGTGAAATATTAATTTGTTTACTCATAATATTCTTAATGAAAAATGCTTAAAAATCCTCTTTCGGTCCGTTGCACAAACGTCCATTATGGTTTAATGACGCCTTTAAGCTCTAATGAATGTCAAATTTGTATGGGTAATGTCGCTTAAAACTAATGAAAATTTTAATGGACGTTTGTGCAACTGGCTGTTTGTTTCTGGTACTTCGAGATGGGTTTCGGGCCCAAGACCTTTCGCAATCCGGGCGACTGCTCTAACCACTGAGCTATCCAGGACTTAATAGGATTAACAAATTTTTTAAGCATTTGTTACTTTTACGCTACTACAGAGAGTATTTTTATAAATATTTTTTACACGAACTGATAAGTTAATGATAATTTATTGCAGAGTATAAAATAAATACTGTAAGATACAACTAATGTAGTTGTACAAAAATGTCAGCCAAAATGATTCAAGTATCCACCAGTATCAACGCGATATGCCAATATTCTGACTTTCGCCGAGTGTGATTGAGGTGCACAACTCTTGAATGTTATTTTACACTTTATGATCATTGAAACAAGACTCAATATAAATTTTAATAGTACGTTTGGTTTTCTCGGTATAGGTATCTACTCTGGGCTAACGAAGATTCACCATGCGAAATATTCGTTGGCTCTTACTGTGACTGACTTCAATTGTTAAAATTAATTACTATATTAATGCAGTACGTTCATAATATGATTTTTATTTTTGATACGCCCTCTTTGAATTCACACAGACATGACCGAAATATTTTAAAACGTAATAAATATTTACTTTAAAAACTTAATATAATCCCCGCAAATGGCTAACGCGCCTGACCGCCATTTTGATGACGTAATTGTGTTCAACAATCAGTATCGTTTAATAAACACTGGTTGACGAGTAAAATTAATGAGTTGGGTTATGTATGAGATCACACACGATTGTTGTTATGTTTTTGTTGTTTTCGATAATTAGCATCTGCTACGAGTATTATGATTTCTACAGTAAGTAAATCTACCCCTTACTCTTGCTCGGAATGTCGATGGATCGCGATTGCAAGCGAGAAGGGGGCTGATTTCATTAAAAATGAATATTTCTAAAGTCTCTTATTTCAAATTTACTTTTGGCGATGTTTTAATAAAAATCGTTCTTTCATTTTGCTATCGCGTTATTACAAACTAAAAGTTATTGAATTATTATATAAATATTTTGATGATTATACATAAGTACTTTAATAATTAATATATAATTTATATTTTTTGTGCTTTACTACTTTCTAATTTCAAATAACGTCACCTGGGTATTTATTTAGAAAAGGTTCCAGCGAATTAGCAATTTGCGGAAATTATAACACTCATTTAAAGCTAGCTTTGTTAGAAAAACGAACTAAATTATAAAAAATAACTAACTTTTATCCAATAAAGCTCGTAAAATTATTATTAATCTTAGTTATTATTTATTGGAAGCGTCAATATTTCATATTCATACATATATTATTAATGTTAAGGCACTGTTTTTATATACACACTACCACACTAGGAACGTTATAGGTACAATTTGATAAAATAAATCAGCCTGAATATTTGACTTCATCTGCCAAGACCAGTCGATGTATAAATAATCGCCAATAAAAGACAAAAAGTAATCTTGACAGCATAAAAAAAAAATAGAACAGGCAAAATTGAAAACTAGATATCATTTTAACCAGTTCATCATCAATCATATTGTATATGTTTGATGCCATAGAATAAGACACGAACATGATATATGTGTAGGAAAAAATATTTAAAGATTACATCCTCGGAGTTCTATTTGAATAATTTCACATTATGTGTAAATATGCATATGACTCTGGGATTCGAAATTTAAAATTATTTCCAATTGTAATAAACAAAATTATAGAAACTACAGTTTGTTTAATACTCAAAGTAAAGTATTGAAACTATTTATAATTATCAGAAACTAACGATTTCTATTTGGAATATAAGTATCGCAGGCATATCCATATTAAGACAACGTGTTCTACGCAGCAAAAATAACTCTATTTGTTCCGATCACACTTTGATATTGATAAATTATTTATATAAAATTACATTGTATAAAAACAACATATTTATTGTCATTTAGAACACTTACGTTGTGCGCGCTAGGATCACCGATGATTTATTATCATTAGAGTTACCTGAAATAAATAGTGAATCAAAATATAAATATACAGAGCAGCATGTCATGTTTCTGCAAACTCTCTCATGGTGAAAGTGAATAACTCTTTCCACCGTAAATGGATTAAAAAAAGAGTGCAATATCTAGGGCCAAACTACTTTTTGTTAATTTTCTTTGTATTATAAGACGAAAGCTTCAATGTTTTCAGATATTTATTATTTATCTTGAAGTACTATATACTGCTCGAGTAGTTCGGTGGGGAAGTGGATAAACGTTGCGGCCCACGGTCGTTGTTGTGAAGGAACTTTAGCAAGGTCAGTCACGGAACGGATGACCAAAAAATTATTATCTCGAGCAGGAGCTCGAGGACCCGAGCACAGGGAGGACCCTGTGTTCTCAAATAACTAACCTTACTTACGAGAATAAAAATAGTATGAGTAGTGATGGGCACATATTTGATACGATGTCGATAATTCACATATCGATCGACAAACAAAAAGGAACATAGTATAGGACTGTATGTATGTTTATTTTCTATTATATTATCATAATACCAACAAAAAATAGAAAAGTACTCTTCACAATATTGCTCAAACACTTGAAAAATTCACAATATCGCTCAAACACTTTTTTTTATTTTTATTTCAGTATGGACTTGTTCCGTTATACACGGAAATTTTGCCAACATCCCGTAGTGAGAGAGACACGTGATTGCTAAATATCTTTCTTTCTTTCTAAATTCACACTGAACTGAACGACAAAAACAAAGATTTTGTAAGGCATGTATGTAATTTTTATTTGACAAAGGAGCGTAATCATTCTGCCATTGGCTTTAATAATATAACGTTTACGCGCAATACATCCAAACTAAATGGCGCGGTAGGCAGGATGCCGGTGAAAATGTATCAGCGAAATAAAAGGATGACCTAGTTAAATAATATCAACTTGTTAACTAACAATAACAATAATGTTACAAAAGGAAACATCAGCATAATCATAGAGGAGATAGACAAGAGCTTATACTACAGCCTTAGCACTGGACAGCAGATTTTTTTTCGATCGGTAATAAAAATAATCAGCAATTTCATATAAAATTGTAATACATACCAACAGTATGAAACAGCTGATTATTATTTCGTGAATATAGTGTTGCTCCTATACTAAAAGTTGGTCAGTATATTTAACTCATTCATTCCACAAAATCCTGGCACACAATAATATTACTACATAGATGGTTGTTAACTCACAGTTCCTCGTAGAATGCGACACGCGTGTTAGTGGAGCCCTGTTTTAGCCTCCTGAGGGTGGAGTACTTGTCGTCACCAGCACGCGCCTGCTCCTCGTGCAGTCGATCCAGTGTGGCGGTCGACTGGTCCACCCTCAGCACTGAGAACTCGCACCGTAACTCGTCCAACTGACGCTGGAGGTGCTTAGACTTGGCCAGGTACTCCACCCTGTTTAAAAATCGCGAGGTATCGGTAGTCAGTCAGATATATTTTTTAAGTATCATTCATATAATAAGTTAGAATCTGAAATGGTTTCATTTTCAAAATTTCCCGCCAAAACGCCATCTTGTCATGGCGTCGCTATGATAAAATCGTTCTATTTATCCATAAAGTTCAATTCTCTATACTCCATTCACTATAACATTAGAAAAAAGAGGGTCATAGAAGCAGCAGTGCAGAACATTTTATTTTCAAGATAAATTTAAAAAATCTATATTAGTTTTGTTGAAACTTTGAACGTTAGGTAGTCTGAAAGAGCTAGGCAATTTTCCATTTTTTATGATACCTCGGGGTTGTCATGAGGCCAGCATTTTATAAATTCATCTGTAAGTCCCAAGCCAACATGGAACTAAAACTGAAACTATCTGTGTGTTTTGGTAAATTCTAATTGTAAGTGTAATAAGTTAGACTATTGATGAAGACATTGGAAAAACTCCCTGAAATGTCAAAGTTTGAGGGTAGGTATGGGGGCTTAGAGCGTAATTTTTGTAGGCCACTCGGGCCTGTACCGGCATTGTCCATATTTACCAAAACTTAACAACAAAAATAAAACAATAACATCACGGAAAACGGCTAAACAACAAGAAAGGCAGTAGCATTCACAATGGATGACAATCCCAGATTACGGTTTTAACAATTATAAATAAATAATAGTCTGACAAAATTAAAAAGCTGTACTACCGAAACGATTGAAGGGGTTAGGCAATGTTTTAAATTTGGTAGAGTTATAGTGACATGAGAATCGTGCCGAAACTATCCAACCCTGCTTCTTTAGGTTCTTTACGATGGACACTTTTTATTGTTTTACTTATTAAATCATTTAAGTTTGTCATATACTCATAAATTTGTTTAATAGTTAGCTTAAATGACAACAGTTAAGTATAGCAGCTGATATTTAAGTGAATATGTAGCAAATTAGCCGTCAGTCTTAAAAGTAACATGATTATTGATATTTTCTCACAAAGTATACCATAAAAAGAACCTTATTTCACTTCTGTCTAATGCTATAATGAATGGAGTATAAGTACTGATATGAGTAGAGAAGGTCGTTTCTTTTCAAATAAATGATTCTTGCGCTAATTTTGGTGTAACTGAGAATCATTACGGCAATTTAAGAATTATAGGTCAACGAAAGTCAGTGAAGAAAGGACAATACCCATATTAGGCTCTTAAAAATAAATTAATCTGGTAAATACGTTATTTTTGAACTTAATATTCAGATATGCTGCTCTCAACAAAGGTTTATCATGAAAACCGATTCCATGTCTTAGATTTTTCCCTATGAAAAACAAGACATTTTCGATAACTATTGTGCCCATGCATAAAACCGATAACTACACGTTTTAATCGGACGACGACTGAAGCGTCATTGTTACACAAATGATAGTCGTATCAATACAAACTCACGCAACATGGCGCCGCGAGCACAAATTAATTGAATCCATAGAGTTGATCTTGGAAAAGGACAATGGTCGGCTGAAGTGCACGTAACGAAGACTAGGAAAATTTCCAATTTCTAATTTACTGTGTTCTATATGATTAAATAAAAAAAAATCTGTAGTTTTTTTTTAAACGTGACCCTATTACTAAGGCTCCACTGTCCGCTAATCTGTCATCAGGCTGTATGTCATTAACCGTGATACCCGTTTTAAACTATTATTTATTTTTTGTAATAAATTAATATTATAAGTCGAGATTAATGAAACAAGCTGAGACAAAAAATTGGCAACTAGAAATACTAATTATTACGCGGACAAAGCTGCGGGCAGTAGCTAATAGTATCAAATTAGTATAATAATTACCTCTCCTTCTCTATTTCCAGGGATAATCTATGTATATGTGGGTCCGGTTCGTCGGGCACCAGCTGGTACGCGGTCAGTTCTTGTTCGGGGATCGCGCCCTCCTGTAGGACTTCGCCCCCGAGCTCCGCGGGCAGTGAGCACGTCGACGGAAACAGCGACGAGGGCACCGGCGACTGCGCGTACACAAAAACACATTTTCTCTTTAAATAGGTCGGTATATATGGTAAAAGATTTGTGAAAAGTAGCGATCGGCAACACGTTTCCCACGTACGTCTTACGTGCTACGTATACGTATTGTGGCCCGTGAATATTATTAGCAGCTCATTACAATTTTTAGTGGCATTTATTTAAGCGAACAAACTTTTTCAATTGTCAATTATAGAAAAAAATAAATATGCTTCTCGACTCACAGATGAGCTTTGAGAGGCATTCTACGAATTGCAACTACAAATATGAATATCATTGGCTAACACACAAGAAATAGCCTCCCTAATGCAAACTCAAACATCACACTGAAATTTGTATAAAATCAGTTACTTGTTAGTAGTTACTTCGTAGTCTTCATTCCTATTTATCAGTGATTATTTTTCTAGCTATAACTAATGCCCAAACATATAAACAAAATGTAAGTACGAGTATTATGTGTACGAAATAAATTCCGTATGTTTTAACAATTTTAATTGCATATTCCTTTTTCTCTGGGATATGACCAATTATACTGATTTTTTGATCTTCAAGGGTTTTAATATCACAAGTGCGGCCCGAATTAGTTTATTTTGCCACCTTGTGGTTCACGCCTACCAAAAGGTTGCCGCCTGCTTGTGTAAAGTATATCATGGCACCAGTATTATAATAATAATAAATTCATTTATTTGGGACAAAAAGAAATACAATTCCAACTCGGCATATGCTGGTCTTGTGATCAGCGCTGATCTTCCGCTGGACCCGATCCGGTGAAAACACAAACAGTGACACACCACATAACAAATTACAAGAACGACAGTATAAATTAAAAATATATACATATATAATAGCCCTACTTAAGGATTGGTTGTATGGCGAAATAGATTCCTTTGCCTGTATACGTAAGGCTACGTATTGGACGCTCGCGGGCGCGGCGGCGGTGGCGACATCGGTGCGACAAAATGATTTATAAAAGGAAGAAGAATAAGCCTGTAAAATTTACAAGTTTATTCTTCTAATGTTTACGTAATAATCGCATCTCGATAGAATCTCAACTACTTGCATTTTATTCTTAATGAAAAATGCTTAAAAATCCACTTAGTTTCTGGCACCCTGAGATGAGATGCGAACCCATGACCTTTCGCAAACTGGACGACTGTTCTAACCACTTAGCTACCCTGGACAGACGAATTTTTCAAGGACTTATTTCTTTTTCACTACTACAAAACGTTTTCTCATCAATGTTCGGGCAATTCACCCAAACATCTACTTTCGATAAAGATGAAAATTTGTTCTAAATATTATATTTGATCATTTTCGCATTCACATATTTTTCGGTATAGCATTGCAAAATTGATCAAATATAATACTTGCATTTTTCACATTTTACTATCTATCTGAAGTACAATAATATTATATATCTATCACCATTGATGTGTATGGAAGACATAGCACTTATAATATTGGAGTAAATAGTTGAGATTCTATTGAGATGCCATTATTCGATCGAGCCTCGCACGCCAATTGAGCGGGGAATGCGCGACTGAGTGATTATAGTGTTGTCCACAACAGTTTCAACTTATTTTAAAACGTTATAGACTATTAAATAAATTAATAAACAAATAATAAAATATACACATTTCATACTATAACCACATAAATTGAAATGTGCGATCTGACTGATTGCGTCGAGAACGGGCCAATTTTCTCACGTCACCGCACCCGCGGGCGACCAGTACGAAGCCTTATCAATCTTACAACGTCTACAGCAGTGGTTCATAGCCATTAAGTCATTAGCAATGGGAATAGGTAGTGGTATATCAGAGACAAGCCAATGACAGAGAATGACTTTGTTAGGGCTATATTTTATCCAGGACAACTTTAATTTCCAGGAAGTTTAGGCTAATATTAGTTTAGGATAAACTTGATGGCGCAGTGCCTAGGGCGCTCGGCCTGCGATACGGTTGTTAAGCAAGTCATAGGATGTGTCATCGAAAATTTACTATCTCGAACTCCTCTATTTCGAAAGGCACGTTAAATTGTTAATACCCACCAATCCGCACTGGGCCGGCGGGGTTTGTTATAGCTCATCCTCCCTATTCGACTATATCCACAGGGAACGCCTAAGCCCACCAACAGCGGGGACATTAAGGGAGCTGGTGATGATGATAATGATTTCTATCACTGATCATTAGAAACCATTATATCCTGTCATGGCTGTCCCAGACCGGGCCTTTTATTAAGGTCTGAGAAAATCTCAGGTACAAAAAGGCATCGACCCACTTCTATGCAATACTTTAGTCTTGATAAATAAAGTATTATTATAGTTTTATTTAACTAAGGTGCAGTCAATGCAAGGCAATTTCCGAACTCTATTATTTCAAGCCTTAATGCATTAAAGTAGAGGTCAAAATGCAATGCAGAAATATGACATATCTGTGGCAATTAAAGCCCGCGTTTTAATAAGGCCCACCTGTGAACCTTTGTGCTTAAATATAAGACTTCCTTTCCTCTTCAGAAATGTTGTAGTTTGAACAGGGATAGAAGTGTATTAACAGGTACTTTCAATTACAGCACAGCCTGCCAATATGAATAAAATCACAAAGAGCATAACATGGATTGATAGGTATTATTTTCCGTATATGCAGATGAGACCACCGGTTTCATGTAACTTTCGTAGCACGTAAAAGGTCGGGATAAAAATGGTTATGCGCCCATCCTATAACAGTCTTTCGCGAAAGTTGCTTATTTTACGCAATTTAGAAAATTACAAATATGACACAAACAAACCAAACATAATAATACAATAAATAACAACAGTGATTGGCATATATAATATCACAAATGTTTCCACTCATTTCATTTGACCAAAACGAACGAGCGAACGTATAGATTTGTCAACAAAAACGTATCGATAACAAACACAAACGAATGAATTATCATCTGATCGGCATAAACACGTGGACCGATAAAAGACTTGCAATGGATTCTTTAATAACGAACGAATTATATTGAGAGATTGAACTGATCGATATGAGTGAGTAGACCGAATAAAAAATTACAGAGTGATTGATTTACAAACCAGTTAATAAACTTGAGTATGCAGATGGAACCAAAGACTACAAAAATAATGAATAGGATGTTATACTGCAAATTTCTGTCGCCAAACTGGAGCACTAGCACATGTAATAAATAGTTTTTTCAACGTCAAATGTCATTCAGAGAGTAATGAACAAATAATAAAGCAAAAGAAGGATTATTTATATGTAGGTATAATTAGAGAGTGTAATTTTATCCAATGATACTGTCTGCCCGTTACTAGATGGCGTTACGTGTCATCTGACGTCTCCGTCGAAACTACGTATACGAGTCGTAAACAGTTCGGCGAGAAGGGGTCACTTGGGAAGAAAGGAACGGGTAGCCGTTCTAGAACTTTTTGGAAGAGTAGGGCGAAGCCAACCAAGAATGATCTAGGTTCAAATCCAGAACATTCTAGATGTACTAACATCTAAAGGTAAGCTATCCGTCTCGGCATTCTTACAGTGTTCAAAGGAACTAAATCCAACAGCGAAAACAATAACGATTTAAGAGATCTTCGTGACCGATCTAGTAGTGTTGTAAAGTGATAGTAGTGATGTGAATAGTGAAGTAAACGTGTTATGTTTTGTGATTTAATTTGAGTAATTAAAGTGGGATTGACTTAATTGGTGTTAATTAACACCAGCTCGTAACAATACATTAATGCTACGTATTTGGATGTAATAAGGAAGGGATTGTTCTAAAAAGTTTGTTTCTTTACTACGTGTGCTAGTGATGCCATCTACGCCGAGCTAATATTCCCAACTATTTACAAAAATATGAGTAGCACTGATTGCACGAACACTTGGATAATATAACAGAGTGAATGATCATCAACAAATAAATGCATTGACATCTGATAGACGTGAGTGAAGTTACAACAAAGATCAAAGATCGAATTATTTATATACAATGATGATGAGTGAATGATTGACTGACCGGAGTGAGTGAAACTGAATGGGCGGGGTTCTTGTTGAGGAAGGCGGCGAGTCTGTCTCGCGCGGACTCCGGAAGGATAGCACTGAGCCAATCACGAGGTAACTCATCTCGCTGCAATACAGAGATTTCGCAATACAAATCGTCAATTAATGAAAATAAGAATATGTATTTCAACAAATTAAATCCTTCTTAAGAAATATGAAGAAGTAGAAATGTATGGGACTTGTGACGTCAAAATCTAGTAGATTGTGTGCGTTGCACGAGAGCGAAAAAGAGATAAAAAAAATATCATTGTAGCCCTTATTATTTTATAAGCGAGTCAAACTTAAGTTTTATTAATTTCCATGTTAATAATCTTTATTAAATCTAACATTTTTTCTTATTTAATTTTAAGGATGTATTATATGTGTTGCATAGCTATATCATCAACCATTCCAGTGTCAAAAAATGATATATTTTTGGGACATACTTTTTTTTAATGAATCTACCATGAAAGTTTAGTAACTACCATTTCCCTAAAGTTTCATGCTTTATTCTAGAAGTAATCTATCTTTAAGAAGTTCATAGTTACCTTTTGCAGATGTTCAGATCCTCCATTGGTGAGCATTGTGGTGGTGGAGATGGTGGTAGAGCTGGTGGCGGCCGGCGCAGCACCACCCGGGCCCGCGCCCCACGTCATCTGCCACGAGTGTCGCTCCGACAAAGGTGACTGACCACTCTGTACACCACACGTACATACATACAGTAATACTTCATCTGCCACGAGTGACGCTCCGACAAAGGTGACTGACCACTCTGTACACCACACGTACATACATACAGTAATACTTCATCTGCCACGAGTGTCGCTCCGACAAAGGTGACTGACCACTCTGTACACCACACGTACATACATACAGTAATACTTCATCTGCCACGAGTGACGCTCCGACAAAGGTGACTGACCACTCTGTACACCACACGTACATACATACAGTAATACTTCATCTGCCACGAGTGACGCTCCGACAAAGGTGACTGACCACTCTGTACACCACACGTACATACATACAGTAATACTTCATCTGCCACGAGTGACGCTCCGACAAAGGTGACTGACCACTCTGTACACCACACGTACATACATACAGTAATACCTCATCTCCCACGAGTGATGCTTCAATAAAAGGGACTGACCACTCTATATATAACATACATATAGTAATGTTTGTATTTGTAATTAATATAATTTTTAATAAGATCCATAAACGTCACAAATTTTTGTCGCGGCCAGCGTCGCATTTCTGATTTTTTTTATTGTAAGAAAATATTAAAATGTCTAAAATAGAACCATCAGATAAATTAATTTCAACAGAAATAAAAACAAATTAAATATAGCTGAAAATAACATTTGTCTAAACTAAATTTGTATAAAAATCGTTTTTTTACATGAACTATTTTAATGCCATCAAAACCAGACAGACATAAATTGAACAGCCTAAGAATTAGAAGTTTATCATATGATAAGATAGAAGACTTATTTCTCGACTTATTTATATTACTATTAGCTGTTCAATTTAGCCCGGTTAAATTATGATGTAGGTTTCCATTGTTGTTTTTTTTAATCCATACAGCAGTTTTTTAGCCTATACAAGCAAATAATGTTTTTTTTTTTATTATTTTAATAACAATAAAAATTTGTACTGACCGTCGGTAATGAACCAGTCGAGTTTCTAGCAAGGAAGGAGAGCAATCGTTCCTTCGCATGCCTCTCAGCCGCTCGCGCCGCCGTCAGTTCATTTCTCAGCCGTTCAGCTTCCGCTGCACGTTTCTCCGATTCTTCCACTAGTCGAGCGGTCAGGAATTCAGCTTCGCGTGTTTTACGCTCCAAGTGTACCTGCATCGTTTAAAGAGAAAAGAAAACTTAATTCATAACAGACAAAACCTTATTTTAACCTATGTGTTTCAAAAAAAGCCTGTTACCCCTATAACATAACGATAGATACCTACTATGAAATTATGTGCGCGTTGATAAATAAAATGTTTTATTAAAATTTTACTAAGGTTAGACTTCGAGCTGAACAGCGTCGGTTACCATTTTGCCAATGATTTATTGCTATTGAATTTCGATCCTAGTAGGTAATTTAATGTAACATGTTTGTGTAGGCATATTTTCTCTCTCTCTCACACCGTCTACATGTGTGGGTGTGTCCTACGAGAATTGAACAAAACTATAATAAACATAGGCAGAGACGCTTTAACGCTTTTAACGCTTTTATTCAAAATTTTAAACTGAATGCAAAGGCTTTGAAAAATCACAGAGGACAGTTTATTTGATATACTTCCTTCGCTTATAACGGATATTTTGTAACACGCGGTAGAGTTCAAAATTGCAACATATTTAGATTGTGTGCATTAGCGTCATTTGAACTCTATATTGTAGTTTAGAAGCTTGGTGGCCTAGTGGATAAGCGCCGCGACCCACGATCTTTGTTGTTAAGCAATTTTCGCAAGGATCGGTCACGGGATGGGTGACCAAAGGACTTATTATTTCGAAATACTTTATGCTTTGGAAGGCATGTTAAGCCGTTGATCCCTGCTACATTTGTAGTCGTTAATACCCCCCAATCCGTATAGGGTCATGACCCATTCTCCTCAACCATCCATATGGATGGTCTGGGCCCCAGTAGTGGGAACATAACAGATGATAATGATGATTGTAGTTTAATTATATAATTTTGTTACATAAATACGCAAATTCAAATAAAGACAAAGTGGTAAATTTCAGATATAATTGCAATACCAAGTACAGTATTAAGTTTTACCTTTTCTTCCTCAGTCTTAATAGCGGAGAGCCTCAACCGGGCATTCTCTCGTTCAGCATCGGCTGCTTTTTGTGCTAATAAGGACGCTTCTTCTTCAGCAACCCGCCCTTTTTCAGCTAATAACTCCGCCGTTTCTTCTGACCTGCGCTGTACACGACATTGAACCTTATAAAAGTACCCGGAATATTTCCGATATATTTTTTAACTATTTCGCGAAACACCTAGGATAAGTCAGTCGTTCAGGCAATAAACTACATGGAATTAAAATCGTTCTTAAAATTTTGTTGGCAACCATACTATACTATTAACAAACATATTATATAACTATACTAAATTTTGGGCCTGCGTACGACATATATAATCTGTTGGAGAAACATATAATACGCATAAATATTATATTATCAACACCGAAATCTAACAAATTAATTCTTCATTTATGAAGGCGCATATACATTATTACTTAATTAATACGATAGCTTATAAAAAAGTCATTAATTCTGTTAAGAGCTGGTATGTTTCTCTCGTTTGATTTGCTCGTCAGCCAAAACACGTTGTGAACAGGTGGCAGGAAAAAGAATTGAAGGTTTCAAAAGCGCTCTCAATAAGCATATTTGAATAAAAGATAATTTCATTTCAATTCATAGCGTGTGTGTCAGGATATATCCTAAAGCATTGTCTTGATTAATGTTCGGTTCCTGTGGAATTTGATAGGTAGGTACTGTATATATTTTTTAAATTATATTTCGCTGAAGAAATGTTGGCAACCCTAAGAATATTTCTTATGATAACAAATATAGGTGTAGCAGAATTTGATGGCAATTTATTTTTATTTTTTTTACCATATGACACCTGTGTGCCATACTACCGTTTATTTTGTCCTAGGTTTCAGCATGCAGCATTACTTTTTGTCTTTGATATTCAACATCATTTTATTTTTATTATTCACCTTTCGTAATTTGAAATTTTTGACTAATCAAATATACTCTTTATGGATGTCAGTTCGTAAAAAAATCTACTGTTGTGAATATGTAAATCGTATAAATTTAAAAACATAAATATCTTATAATCATGAAGATATGCGTCTAAAATAAAAATTATAAATAGAATATACAAAATTATATCCTGTAATAGCGTCCAAGTTTTTATCAAGAAACCAAAAAAGGGGTATGTATTCGTTTTATTTGGTAATTTTATATTTAGGTAACTTACGAACTGTTTTTACATTATTTTTTCTTCACACATTATTACCATAAATAAATAAATTCTCAAGCTTAGTCAGCCTTTCATTAATTCGCCCAAGTATCAAACCCGTCACACACCTATATAACATATATATATGTAAATAGTTACGAGTGCATCGTTGGCCAGTCGTATCTCGTCCTGGTATTGCCTCAGACGCTGTTCCATCGCTGCGCGCTCTCTCTCAGCCGCTTCACGTAACTGCTTCTCTCTAGCTAACTTGTTGCGTTCTATAGCGCGACGCTGAAATCGTTATTAGCAAATGTATTTCCGATAAAACGAAATATACCATAAAACACATGGTTTGAACAAGGGTTTTGCAATATACAAAATATACAGTTTTATTAATAGAACATAATATTAACAAATCATACAAAACAATATTATGAAAGACAGAAAGGAAGAGTGAGAGAGAAAGAGAGAGAGAAAGATAAGAAAAGAGAGAGAGTACGTATCAAAATTATACCAAAATTGCTCCAATTTCGCTCATTGAATGTAATTGATTAAAAAAACATGGATGTTAATCTTTTTAATATTTCCTTAATAGGTCCTGATAGGTCCTGGGTAGCTCTGTGGTTAGAGCAGTCGTCCGGATTGCGAAAGGTCGTGTGTTCAAATCCCGTCTCAGAGAGCCAGGGACAAAGAAGATTTTTTAAACATTTTTCATTGAGAATATTTCCTTAATAGAAAAAGTAATTTACATTTATAAATGAGATAAATAAAAAACCCTTTTTGCAGAGAAATTGTAAAGTTATGCGATTTATTTCAACGTTTTTCCTAATTAAAGTTTGTTTGATATATATATATCTATAACTCAAGTTATATTTAAGCATTTGTTTTCCTTAATGACTGTTTATGTCAAAATAAAGAGAGAAAAAAATGTATATACGAACCTGTTTTTCTTCTTTGGCTTGCGCCTTCATCTGCTGCACCTCCATGGTATCGGGTTTCCGTCTTCGCATATACAGGTCATGATTACCGATACACAGATCCAGGATCTGTACCAAATAGGATACTGATTTCATTAAATATCGAGTACATACAACAGCAGATCTGGTTACTACATATGTCGCATACTGGCAGTAAATTTAGAAATACATATCCTAATCAAGGTACAAATTCAAGAGAAGAAATTCAAGAGTTTGTAAAATCTGACGTGCTGTCGAGTGTACATTTAACACAGGTAAAACCGAATTTACGAAACAACAAAAAGAGTTGAAGATAATTCAAATGAAGTACCAGCCTCGCTCCAAGCTCCACTCTCACAAGAGTTTTAATTAGACAGTAGTGCTTCTAAGCTTATCTGCTTTTATCGGCTAAAGCTTATGACGTCACAGCGACATTTCGTACAGTCTATCACGTCTTTATTACTTTTAAGTCGTTGTACGTTGCACTGTAAAGTCGTTCGTAAGGACCAAGCCACTTTTAATCAAAATAAAAAAAAACATTAGATTCTCAATCCCCAGACTATTAAACATACGTTTAGAACCGTTACTCTCTTGTTGGTTCAGTTGGGTAAAAATATTTAATTTTTTATGTACTTACACGGGACCGCGCCCTGCTGCCGGCATCCAAATGATTAATGACGTTAGCTATAGCACAGTCACCGAGCAGAAATAATTTCGTACAATGACTTCACTACACATCTCTTTCACTCGTACGCAAACATATTGCTATTGCGCTCACACAGATACATCTTGCCAATTTTGTCATAGTAAAGTGAACCTAAAATGTACCACCTACCACCAGACACAAAGATCAACGTACGAAATTCTCTCTGTTCGATGACCATGCTGTGGCTAATCCTTCGACCTTTTGATTTTTTCTCAAATAACCCTGTATATTTTTACTACTCACCAATTTGTTCATGCCCTTAGGTGAGAAGAATATAAAATTCGTGACGCCTTTATCCACGAACTTGATGACGAATTTCTTGTCGTCGAATGATATGTGTTTGATCTCGGACCAAGGAAACGTCGTCTTCGGCGTCAGCTTGTTGTCCTTCTCGTAAATGTTCAGTCCTAGCGCTGTCACCCCCAAATATAGATCTGTGTCTTTTTTATTCTGAACATAATAATAACATAATACATTATCTCCACAGTTTTCCTACTCCAACGTAGTAATGTTGTTTTGAATCTAACTCACATTTATAGCAAAGTAGTTTACTCCGTACATGTCCAGATCTTGTGCTATTTTCAGGTACTCCATTTCTGCTTCATCCCTTGACATGCCTTTGTGGTCCGCGTACCTGTGTTCAAATCGAGGATGTTATGAACATATTATTTCAATTACGGATACAGATATTTATGATTTGTTATATCAGTTTAAGTAACAAATATGTTTTTTTTAGATTATATGATAGTTTCGGATTGTTTCTGTTATGGATTAAAGATATGTGAGTATTGGTTATACATATATGTAGTAGAGACTATACGCGATATGCCTTAATAAATAACTGGGCCCAGTGGTACATTTACATTAATCCATTACTTTTTTCGTTGCATCTTGAAATCATGAAACTTGGCCTAGTGACACATTTACATTCGTCTATGACTTTTTTAATTACTTCAAGCTTAAATAAATGTATAATTCAATGAGAAAGGAACATTTAGTCTTGGTTACAATAAGATAGATATTACTAAGACTATGATTGCAATAATTTGACGTATTGTGGTACAAGGGCATAAATTTTCGAGTTCGTATAATTGCCGACATGTTAGTATTATAAACATAAATAGTGACAAACTATGATATATGAAATTGCCAAAATTATGTAACCAATTAAAATACAATAATCGATTTTAAACGCTTGGTATATTACTAAATAGTAGCAATAATTTACAGACACGAGAAAAAAAAGCGGTAATCCATTAACTATCGGAGCATGTGCAATCTGTGTGAAATTGCATATCGGTATTCGTGTCAAGGGAGTATACGCCGTAAGACAATTACAGTAGTGCCACAAAAATAAGTTTTGGAGAATTCACAAATGGAATAACGCGAATTTAAACATTACTCGGCTATTGATGGTTGTCATTATCAGCCTGTTACTGACCCCACTGCTGTGGCACAGGCCCTCCCTATGGATGGAACTGAATTGAGAGAACGGGCCATTCAGTTAGAGCATAAAAAATTATCTTTGTGTCAATGGAATTCCATTCCTACTCGATTATTTTCCTGCTAAAAATATCAATTATTATGTTCTCGTCTCCAGCTGGAATCTGTTATAATTACCATATCTTGATACGGTCTTCCCACATCTCTGGCGTCATTTGATACTGGTCGATGACGCGTTGAGGCAGCAAGTCTTCACTGGCCAGCATGCCAGGTTTGTACGCACTCTCGTCATAATCGCCATACTAACAAAATCCAGAAATATATACATTAAAATGATGTTTTGAACTTATATAATGTCATTATTTTTTAATACCTACGTTTACTACTTCAAGAAGTTAGCTTAAATATTAGTTAAAAGTTATAAAGCACATTTTTTTTATATTAACATGATAATTTATTACGTTGTATAACTGTAAAAAAATGCCTGGAACTGAATAAATAAAATTTTGTAACAATTACGAGCACTTTAAAGGCTGGAATTTTTGGCGCGCTTCTCGTGACGTCAATGTCTAGAAATTAACATTTTAAACTAATATGGATTTGGAGTAATTGATTAATATTCAATTCAAAATCAATTAACAACTAATATTTTTTTAATATATTCAACTTTTTTAATAATCATATAGGTACATAGTTTATCGAATTATCACCCAGTTGTATAAACATTAATTAAAATTGTCTTTCGTTTAAAACAATATTACTGATTCAAATTTGGAACATTCATTAGAGCTTAGTCGTCATTAAAATCAAATAAAAATAAAAGCCTAAAACATCATTTAAATTATAGTCTGTTGTTTATTTTGTCATATAGAATATTGATGTTATTGCATATCAACTTTTTATAATAATGATATCCTCAATATTTTGGATTCGCCGATTTGTTGCCTGAATAATATTAAAAAATATTTACATAGACATTACAATAAAGTTCAAAATCAAATACATTTTTCCCTTTTTTTTAATCAGACTTATATTCCCTATTGATGATGATGACTTGCCTTTTAATTTATTTTGATTATATGGTACCATTCAAATGCACAGATAGGATTGTTAATTAAATCAATTATATGTTTAAAGCATTTGACAGGACAACTTATTCAATTCCAGAAAATGTATGGTAATTGATATATATACTCTTATTAAAGTGCTTTCTCTACACTGACTTGGTTGTTTGTATAAAGAAAAAACAGACTCAATTGAAATCTAAAAAATTAAAATATATACCTTAGCTTGTACAGCATAACTGGCTAACAATACCGATGCTTCAGGAGGGCAGTAGATATCCATACTCAATATTGCCTGCTTAACTTGCAAAAATAACAAGTGCTGTGTGACCTCTTGAATTAGTTCCTCTGCTACATCTTCGGGATATAGCTTGCAAAGTAACATGAAAGGTGTTCCTGGCATCTGAGAGACACATTGATCTTGCACTGCAATATAAGTTTATAATATACTTCCGGTTCATCAATATAAAACCACTTTTTGCAAGTAAAATTGGAAATAACCCCTTCTCACAGCATGACATTTTACTTTAATTGAAAAGATATTTATTCAGTTTTCAATTTGACTATTGTGAGGTTTTAATTTAACTTTCATTGAATATTATAACTGTAATGTAAGCAGTAGCAAAAATATAGTAATATTCACTGCAAAGTGACGAGGAGATTATTAAATTAGTCAGATTACAGAGTACTTCATCAATTTATAGTCTTAAACATCTCATAATGCAACTTTCTTAATATTGTGTGCAAAGTAAAAAGTGCTTAGAACAAAATCTATTATGTTCTACATAATATAGATAAGATTTGTTAGGCTTAGAGCCAACATGTGTCAAACAAAATGTAAATCAGTAAATAAGTCAATATGCTTATTCTTATATTGATGCAGACTGGCCATAATAGATATACATTAATATTTACTTTAACATAATTCAGTAGTATATTAGCATGTTAGATTATAAGGGGTGCTAGACTCAACAAGGGCAGTATAAGAGTGGTACTAATGTTATTCTATTTGAAGTAATACTTTTATTTACATAATTCTGTACTATTTACACTAGATAATATTCTTTATATGTTTAATACCAAATAATGTTCATTATAATATAAACATTACATGTATCTGAATAGATATTAAGTAACATACCTCTCTTATCCAATTTCAGCCAACTTATAAAGTGTTTTGTATCTTCGAACTGAAGACCAAAGAACCATGTTTCTCTGAGCCCTATAGTTCTGCATACTAAGTCAAATAGATCTCTACCTGTTGCTCGCCACTATAAAGAAAGAAATAGAATATTATTCAATACACAATGTGTATTAAAAATTGTAATCATCAAAGTACATTTAAGACATTAATTATGGAAAAAATAATGATTTATTTTTTCAAGTATTAAGATAATACTTATGGTATAATTAAATGATCATTAGTGATATCAACTACTACATGTCCATATAGACTTGTTATTTTCCATATTATGCATTAATTGCTGCCCTCAGATGATAAAATATACTTTTTGTTTTCTCGTGTTTACTATTGTTTCCTTTAGCAACTATCAACATGAAATTACAAGAATTTAATCACTTGAAACTTAAAAACTATACACAAAACAATTCAAGATTTTAATATAATCATAATATTTCTGATTAATGATTTGCCTAATACAAAACAGTAACAGATTGCTGTAACAAATAAAAGTAAGACTACTTACTAAGAGTAATATTTTATTAACAATTACAGCTTCTTAATGCAAGTTTATTACATTGATGCTGTTAATAGGTATCACGGCTATCGCTAATGCCAATTTACGACTATTACGAAGTGCCCTACACCTATTATGAGTCACAATGAGGGCATTGTATTTTTCATTATATATTCCTTTAACAAACAAGCAAAACTATGTTAACCCGCTTTTACCTCAAGGTTAAACTCCAATTCAGCATCTAATGTGAAAACTTTAACTGGAAACGATTTAGGCGCCTTCTTCCTTCTAAACGGTGGCATTTTCTTGTTTCATATCGCAATCACTTGAATGAAAGAACACTATCAAGAAAAGTAAATAGGTTATGATTGTTCTAATACAATTAATTAATTGCGGTGCATTAGCTATCGTTTACGTAATGTTGTCGGACTAGGAATGTGTGTAATATCACATTGCGTACTATTTCCAGCCTATATTATTTACAAACAAGAAAAACGTCAATGAAACTGTGAATGAAAGGAAATATCAGAAAAACACCGTTCCATTTGACGTTACTGAGCTGTTGTAAAAACATTATGTTCTGTTAGATTTTGACATTGTTAAGGCCAAATCTGTGTCGAACGGAACGTTAAATGTAGTGCTGTACTCTAATTGAAAATATAATCGTCAATCGAAGTTCATACTCTGTTTAAAATCAGCGTAATTTTGGTGGTTATGTTGGTATTTGTTTGTTTTGACTTTTAATTGTCAATCATTTGGAACTAACTTCATTTCATTAGTTTTGTTCACCACGTGTGGTTTTATTTGTGAAAATATTGTTATGAAATAAAGAAATAATGGGGAAATTTAGGTCTAAACTCAAAGGAAAAACAAAGGGGAAAAGATGGCAAAAGGGCCAGTCATCCAACTCCAACCCGAAGATGCAAAAGTACAGGGAAATGGCTAAATCCCGGTTTTTTCAAGAGAATCTAGGTAAGGTTTGTAGAAAATTAGGAAAACTGTACCCTTTTTATTTGTCTTATTACATTTTAACGGTAAACTTACATGTTACATAGATGTAGTTTTGTTCTAATGTACTGCAACATATAGAAATGTAGATTGAGACTGAGATGCTGACTTTTAGGTAACACTGGATTAACTCAACAAGCGGTCCACAAACATGACGCTATAATGACTTATGGACACAGTCTTGGGAAGAAGAATTCAGAAGCTGAAACTGAATTGGCAATAGCTAAAGATTTTGAAAATATGTCTGTCAAAACTGGTGATGAAGAGACAGAAAGTGAATACTCAGGAAGTATGAGATCAGGGACATATAAGACCTTTCAAACATTTGCTTCCGATTGGAGCCAATGCTCAAATATTAGTTTCAGCAAGTAAGTTGAATATTCTTTTAAATTAGAATTAAAAATTTAAATAATTTATCTTTAACAGTCTGAATCTTCCGCCAAGCCAATGCAAACTTCTTTGACCACTGGGCCAATGAAGCTCTTAGTTACCTGTGAATATTCAGTTTTATTTAGTTCTACATTTGTAAAATTATATTTAAACATACCCTATTTGATTTTCGAACTGTTTTATTGTTTATCTTCAGGTTATTAAACAGATTTGACTCAAACAATGCTGTACATAAGGAAATGTTGGCAATCCTTGCAGCTGTCACTGAAGTGATCAAACAAGAGGGTGGCAAGGAGACCACCACTGAATATTTTGCAGCATTGGTCAGTATAGAGAATTATGATAGTATAATTATTTTAATTGATTAAGCTCTAATATTAAAGTATTTATTAAAATATTGTTCTCAAAACCATAATTGATTCCTCATTTTCTAATTTTAAAATTAATATGTTCGGTATAATAAATAATATATGTAATTAGAATCACATGAGTTTATTTGGTTAGGTAGCCAGTCTAAAAGTGACAATGCAAAAATACCCTCCACTTAATTAACATCATTGATTATAATAATGTAAAAAGTACCTACATCAAAATCAATACAATATTGATATATGATAAAAATATATCACAATCTCCTTCAACATTTCATGCAACATCTATTTGATGTGTGATAGAAGATTTTATAAAATTTCTTGATTATTAAAATAATTTGTTCCAAAAGTGATTGTGACTTTAATAGGTACATTATGGTTAGTTACAGAAAGGGTATGCCATAGATTTTAAGAAATCTACAATAAAAAATTCCATGGCCTGATCCTGCCCAAAGAATCAAAACTTAAAAAATGTACAGTAATTATTTATTTATAAAAATAGGCATTTAAAATAAAATAATAACAGGTGCCGATCACAATTACCTAGAACATGTCACAAAATATGCAACAATATATATAAAAATGGTATATTTATTTTATCAAGGTATTTCTTGGTATTTAATCAAGGTATTTCTTGGTATTTAACATATCCATTTTAAGTGTTGGCATTAACTTAATTTGCATTTTGATACAGACTTATTATAAACACAATTACTACTAAATATAAATAAATAGAAAAATGCAGCTGAATTGTATTGCTGTGGTAAATAAAAAATTATATGACTTTATTATTTCAAAAAAAGGCATTACATTTGTTGAGTTGTAGAGTTATTTTAGTGTTCAATGAAATTGTCTATGATATGCATTCTGTTTTTCTTTCTGATATTATAAAAGTAAATTGAGTAATGAAAATATTCTTAATGTATAAGATCTGTAGTTGTGACAAAGTAACAAGTTCTTGAAAAATTCAACAGTCCTGGGTAGCAGTAGCAGTTTCATTAAGAATATTTTTAGAATAGCATTGTGAATGCAAAATTGATCAAATATAATAATTACAACAAATTTTCATTTTTATTGAATGTTTAAATATTTGAAAAAATATTTCTTTCCAGTCAAGAATTGATAGAAATTATAGCAAACATTTTTATTTTTAGATGGAAACCCTGAAAGCAGCAGAAGGAGAACAAAACATAGTAGCTACCATATCTTTACTCTCAATGGGGATTAAATCAGTACCCCAACCAGTATTACGCAAACAATTCTCTGACTCTGCAACCATTTTTATTGAACTCTTGGAAAAGAATGCTCAATCCGACAATGGGATGTTGTTGAGAAGCACCATTGGTAGCTTATCTGTTCTGTTGAGAGCTCAAGAGTATGCACTGTGGGGTGAATCATCAACAATGAAAGTCTTCGAATCAGTTTTAGCATTTGCCTTGCATGCAAAACCAAAGGTTGGTTTACTTTATTTGTATTAACACATTGTGTATGCGCTAGGCGTTCTAATTTCGTACAATTTGTAGGCGCTTTAAAAAAAGTTGTATGTATATGCCCCAATACAGGGTTATATAAAAAACACAAGCATTCTCCCTAGACTACTTGTATTAATGGTTTTAAAGACTTTTGAATTCTCCACTCTCAGCCTTCCGAATTTTTTTAAAGATCGAACGAAATTGCCGCTTTTTAAATTAATTTTATTCTAAGGCTGTGCTAATTTTATGAAAATTAACATATGGTCGATTGTTTGCTATAAACAGAAATATAAATTTCAGTAATTGGCTCCATACAAAGGTTATTTGGATGACTTTACGACCTTTCATGTTAACTATATAAAAATATATATACAAAAAGAGGTCTTGTTATAATCAAAACTGATACAAAGATTTTTTTATATCTGCATATGTTTTTTTTTTCTGTAATTAAAAATGTATGAAATCAAGTGAGCGCGTCTTTACTCTCGATGCGTATTTGTATGGGAACGTAAGCGGAGGTACAATTGGTCAAATATAATTATTATATTGGTCAAATGTAATAATAATTATAAAAAAAGTTTTTATTGAACTATATTGGGACATTTATGTATATGCTTTATTTATAAACGAAAGCCATGTATAATTCTAGGTTAAAAATTAGTAAATCATTTTAAATTTACTCAAGTTATTTTGCTTAAGCCTATGGGAGTATACTAATTTTTAAAAACCTTCAAAATAATATATTTTTTTAAACTTTTTAAGAAGATTGTTTGCCGTAGGTAAGAAAAGCAGCTCAGCATGCAGTTACATCCATTCTTCGCGGCAGTTGTTTCATGATACCATCTGAAGATCAGAAAACTAAGGTAAGCTTCTATTATTTTGGTATTAATTTTTTGTTTTTTTTTTTCATCAGTTATACAAAACATATTGTACGTAATTGCTACATTTCGTTACTCGAGCACTTATTGCTGAACTTTTTTATTAAATTATCTTAAAACAATCTGCTAGTTTTTTTTTAAGTTTCATAAAATACTTTACTGCAAAGTGTATATAAATGTCACTGTTTCAATTACATAAGTTTCTAATGAAATAACAAAGTAACCCTTTTACTGCTCAGGTTCCTAAAGTCCACCCCGCATCAAACCGCGTCGCGGACTTCTGCCTCTCACAAATCAAAGCAGAGGCTTTATTGTCAGGCCATCGAACTGTTCTCCACACATTGACAATGCTCAGGGACGTGCTACCAGTGTTCAGCAAAGATTACATTAAGGTAACTTCTTCATAATTCTTTTTCATTTAAAGAAACAATCCAAATGGGCCATTATATAACCCGGCTTAATGTGGCTTTATTATCGTCATCGGCATATTAATGTTGTTGTCAATGACTGCAAATGTTGCTGGGATCAACAGCTGAACATGTTGTAAAACTTATTTTTTATCAAATAGATGCGCTCACCAAGTTCTCTCGTGTCAATGTTGCTCTATACAGTCACTTTTTTATGTATGAATGAATGAATTAACGATTTATGTTCCCCGCGATATTCCCATCACAAAGAGTAAGTCAGCGCCCCAGCGTAATATCGTCCTTTCGTTTCGTATCTCTGAGGTTCCGTATTCGATTCTCGCTCAGGTTAATATAAAACCTTCGTTGTCTCAGATACACCATAATACGAGATCTTGAGCTACTCATCTTGGAATCTAAACAATGTATGTGATGTCTTATATTTATTTTATAGATATAAGTGTCACAACATTAGAATTAAAACTATTAATTGTAAAATGCTTTAAAAATAACCCTGTATGAGGCTCATTCATAAATTACGTCACACAAATTTTCTTAATTTTTCCATACAAATTCTACTAAATATTTTTCTAATGCCACATCCTCATCAACCCCACCCCTGCCCTCAGCTTGTGACGTAATTAATAGATGGCCCCATATCACTCCAAGATATTCTATGAATGTTAACGTTTTCAGAGCGTCTGCGAATCGATCCTATCATTAATGGCTCACAACAACGTGTACATAAAGACGTGTTGTCTACACACTCTGCACGCGTTATTCTCTGCGGATAGTGACACTAGTAATATGTGCGGTGTATTAGCGGCGAGGATTTGCCGTGCACTAATGGCGTGTAGACCACCCGCTTCCGATACAGGGCAGGTGTTAGCGTGGGCTGCTGTTATGCAACAAGGGTACACGTGTTTAGCAAGGTACATATAATACCGTATTTTAGTAATTACCAGAAAAAAACTAAAAATATACAATTGACTTAACTTAGACAATAAGTAGTCTCAAAATGTTGGTTGCAATTCATAAAATGAAGAAATTAATTTTTAATATTTAATTCAAAATTATCAAATCTTTAGTCTTGTGACGTCATATCATGGCGGCAGATATGACGTCACAAGACTGATTCGGCGGTGTTACGGAATATTTAAATATTGATGTAAATACTTTCTTCTCACATCTATTTGAATATGATATAAAGTGCATGAAAATGTAAGAAACCAGTAGCAATGAGTTTGTTTATAAAACCAAGTGACGTCACAACTAGAGAGCAACATGGCGTCCAACATTTACGTCCGATTCGCGCGAATTAGAAAATATAAAGTTAAGATGTAATTTTATGACACACTGACTGAATAAAATTTTCTATTTTTATCCATGGTTTATTAGGCCGTTAGTATTGAATTGAGATACTTTTCAAAAATAGGTGTATTCATGAAATTTGCGTGCGTGGCGCTACGTATGCGTGAGCTTGTAATGTATTTACCAAATAATCTTTTTAAATCGATTTTGTCAATCGTAGCAGGTTACTTTAACTTCGTTTTAAAACAAAATAATCTATACTAATTTACGATGTTTACAGCTCGTCACAATTAATATTTTTTTATTTTCAATTTATTGAGATTGAGAATATCTTACTTTACATATTTCACCGATGATAGAATCCTTGTCTCTTCTCACTTTATTGTCTCTAGTCTAATTAAATATTTTACTACTCATATTATTTCGTAGTTTTCGACTTACTAAAGGAAAACATATTCACATTTTCCATTTAAAAGTAGTGTACGATTATTTCAATTTGGATTGCTTTAAACACGACGCTAAAGACCATGATCTGACGTCATTCGATTAGTAAACAAAATGTCTCACGCGCGACACGAGCTTATAGATCTGGAGATAAAATTACTGAAATGCCAGCACTTGAATGTTTGTTAGCAACTCACGGGGTCAAAGTCAAAGACAAAATAATCTTTATTCAAATAGACCTCCTAAAAGTACTTTTGAATCGTCCAGCATTTTTTCCCTACCGCTCGTTTAGGACGTCTTTTGGCTGATAATAAGAACGAGCAAGAAACACACTAGCTCTAATAGGAGTAATGACATTTACAAAAACCATGTCATTACCAGATATAATACATTATAAATAAAGAGAGAGAAAATAAAAAAAAACTATGATCTTATAATTATAACATAATCATTTAATAATAATGGAAGCAAGATGATTTTTGATATATAATGAGTTAAGAAGTAATCACCTACCCAGTTGCTGGATCATCTCAAGTCCAAGCATTCTTATCTGTTATACAATCGGATACCTTATAATAAGCTTTTTTAATAAGTTTTTTTTAATAGTAGATTTAAACTGCATGATATCTAATTGTTCTATTTTGAAATTTTGATTGAGTGATGTTATGAGCTGAGACAGAATGGTGGCTTGTAAATTCGGAATCATAAATAAAAATAGTCTTAAAACATCTCTCGTTTTTATATAATTGATATAAAAATATTACTGTTTCACTACAGCTCAGAATTGATTAGACTTCGTATGTGATTTTCCATTGTCCTTAATTTTCTACATATCTTTGGCGCTAGAACAAGCACCTGAAAATACAGCATATTCAATGAAAAATAAGTAAAAATGGGAGTTATATCTATACTAAGTAATTAAGTATGTCAAAATGTTATCATAGTAAGGATATCCAATAATCGTAGATTGTAAATTTTATATCAATAAATATATGAATTTATTGTTTACTATTAATATAAAAAATAACATAATTATAATCCATAATATGTAAGTATTTCGCCCTTCGTGTCATTCTGCCTATCCATGCATGACATAAGGGCCTTTTGAAATGGATTCTATCCTCGCCTCGCTTTTTCTTTTTAATAACTTCTCTATAGAGTAATTAAAAATTATGTTGTATACATATATAACGGCGGGTAGTCCGAAGGTGCTATTGCGAAGCCCAAATAGATCGTCCATATCGGAGGATTATCTTTAAAATAACACTGCAGGCGTGGTATACCAACGTGGTTTTGTTCCATTTATCACTTTTCATACGAAAATATAACGAGATGAGCGTGATGTCATCGGATGTCTTTACTCCTTGGCGATCGGAAACAGAATGTGTGCCAAAATGGCGGCAACTTGCTTTTTATTAACGAACTGTCAAAGTCAGTGTCACCATTCTAATAAAATTAAGGGTATCGATGATCACGCTCTCTTTACAATCGAGTAATTAAGTAATCGAGTAACTAGCAATTAAAATAAAAGAAACTAAATAAAACGATCTTCGTAATGATGATGTGACATATATAATTTTTTATTTATTTAAAATGAAAAGGGAGATAATGTTTTCAGTTAGATTCTATCGTATATGTATAAAAATCTCGTGACACGATGTATACGTCATTGATACCCAGTAGCGCGTGTCTGAGTTAGTTTTATAATATTTTAATAAAAGTAATTAATGTTTAGTTTGGATTTGAACCTGTGCATACCGAATCTTCCGAGTTTTGTGAGTATCTGCGTGACCGAGCTGTGGCTGTCTGACGTCACTGAGATCACTTCTGCCGCCACTAACGCATTAAAAGTAAGTAAACGAAAAAATAACACAATTTTTTTTGTTGAAATTTAGAAGTGCTGTGTTTAATATAGAACACCTCCTCTTTCTACTTTATTTAAAATTTACAAAATACTAGCTGTAAAATAAGTTAAATATATACTATTATTATAAAAAGGAAAGATTTGATTGTTTTTTTGATTTTGATTTTTTTTTTGCTTGTATGTATAAAACAGACTGAAGACTACTGCACTGATTATAAAAATCCTTTCACCTTACCGGAAGCTACTTCATACTTCTAGCCTTATATAAGGTGCAATATTATTATATGACAGGACCTCGTGGGCTGGATTAGGTAAGTATACTGAACAACCTTTATTATGGGAGCAATACTGAATTCACGAAAAATCAGCTACCTATTTCATACAGTCAACGATTATAGGTATTACAACTTTGTATGAAGCAGCTGATTACTTATTCGTGAATTCATATTGTTCTCATAGTAGAAGTTGTTCAGTATACTTAACAAGTCCTGGCACATAATTATATTAAAACTTATATAAAAATTCAAGCGCAGAAAAAAATATGATAACTTGAGGAACTGTAATAGGGGTGCACAAACATTTTTTTTATATTTATATTTTATACATAAAATATATAAAAAGTATCACTCACATAATAAGTTATATTCTAAAAATAAATTTAATTGTCAACATTTCCCGACCCAACTTTGTTATGACCCTCTTAAACTTTTTTTTGGATGGCTAACTTGGGTGGGTTTTTATTTTCGTTTGTTGTACAGTATTAATAAAAGTATTACACATATTTATTACATCACAAAAACGTTTGTCCTATTAAGTGGTCGCTGTGGGGTTCATGGAGTTTACTGCGAAAATATAACTCGATAAAAGAAATATATTCGTCGTTAAATTTATTTGGGTTTAGACCTTATTCCTATTCAATAATTACTACCAAACCGCATGACGATTGACCAATTGTCGCAATTTCGTTTTCAAATTACTATTTCTTATTTTAGTAGTTCGTACGCCAGTTTCAAGACGTCGCTATCTCTGGGGTCCCGGTTTCGATTACCATTCCTTATCCGGTCAATGAAGAAAATGAACTTTTATTTAATATCTTGTATTTGGGTATTGTTTCAGATCTACATAATACAAGTGCTTTAGCTACTTAATTTAGGATCTGAGCAATATGTGTGATGTTGTATTACATTTAATATATTTTGCATCTAAAAGCAGCTAAGATTTATGTTAAACAAGAATAATTTAAAGATAACCCATTTTTTTATTACACAGGCTATACTATTGGATTGCGTAAAGCCAGCCATACAATCGGATACGTTTCCTAGACACAAATCGCACGTGGAGGCTATATTCAAAACTATCGGCGCTGGACTGGACAATCCATTCAATCAGGCAATCAATCACGTGATACTTACCATTGCTGTGTGTTTCGAGGTAAGTTTACTACCTTATGTACTAACTATACTTTCACACCGCTCTGAATACACGTCTTCACGCCACCGCGTCTCGAACAATAATGCACCTAAGACTAGCAACTAGACTAGTCAAACCAGTGTTTTTTTTTTAAGTCAACACATCATCCGTCTCCGAACAAGTTACATTATTTTATCTATTGGTTTTGTTCTGTAAATAAATTAATTTGTTAAATTATAAACCTATTCGTCTATTCTAAGTTTTTTGATTTATAAAAAGACAAGCAAAAGGCAACATGTATATATGCGAGTATTAACGACTGTCGATGCAGCCGGGACCAACGGCTTGACGTGTCTTGATGAGCGCGGAAAAGCTCCAGATATTAAATTTTTTGTCACCCATCCTATGACCGTAAGCAATGGCCTACGTTGCTTAACAACCGTATCGCAGACCGACCGCGCTAATCACTGCGCCATCGAGCTGCTCGATAGCAAATAAGTGATTTAATATAAATATTTCATACTCGGAAGCCGATATTATATTTAATATACAAATCAAAATGTGCGATCAGACCGTTGGCGTCGAGAACGAGCCAATTTCGCCGCGTCACCGCGGTCCAGGTTGGGGACTAATAATATGATTTCAAATAATTTTCTTATAAACAGATTGGAAACGAAAACGTTGTTCATTCACTCACGCCGCTCCTTAGAAAATTGAACGATCGACGGGAGAGCAATAACTTCTTTAACGACAAAGAGGTAAGTCATCGTAAATATATTATTCGTAATTTATAAAATTTGCCCTTTTAAATGAAATAATTAACACTAGTGCAGTTATTAATAGGCTTTAAAATATGATTAAAAAGTGTATTTATGTTCTACACGAGTCAGCAGTTCAAAGTATGCCTAGCGAGGAAACGGCCTACGATTAAACAAGGATGGCAATATACCCACTTTGTACTGATGTCATAATCTATCAAATCGTTAAATGAGAACAGAAATTGCCCTCAATTTCACCCTACCTCACCTACACCCAAATTTAATAAGGGTATATATATATATATAAGGCAGTTAATTTTCATATGTTAGTCATAAATTTTGATTAAACCGAACACATCTTTTACTAAGACTATTGATCATGATGCAGCTCCGATTTGACCAAACTGTTGGTGCTGATATCTTCTCCGATGTGGACTATATGATGTTCGGGTAGAAATCGAAGGTGACTTCACTTTCAAAACGATTTATCCTTACTGCTACTAAACGATTTAGACACTATTGACGCACGGCGTCCGGCCAATCACAGCGCGTTCTGCGCCCGCGCGCCTTGTGCGGGAATCACCCCAACGGATGCGCGGGGCTTACGCAGCCAATGAGCTTTCCGTTAAATATCCAAATGTAGGCGCTGTGATTGGTCGTTCAAACGACTATCCTACAACCTTTCCCAATCCAGGCGACTGCTCTAACCACTGAACTACCTAGGACCTAACAGAACTGATGAATTTTTCAATAACAGAGTGTCAGGGACAAAACGGATTTTTTAAGCATTTTTAATTATTTATATATTTCTGAGCTAATATATTATGCCAATATAAATTTTATATGAATAAAAAATATTATGGCTTTCTTAGGTGGAACACGCTACAGGTTGTGCGATAAAGTCATTAGGTCCAGAGTTCGTACTAAAAATAATACCTCTAAGAGACGGACCAGATAGTATTAACATAGACAGGAGTTGGCTTCTACCCGTGTTGAAGGAGAAGATTGTCAACTCACATCTGAAGTTCTTCGCGACGGAGGTATTAGAGATGGCAACTTTCTGCAGGAAGAAAGCAAGAGAGTTGAGTCAAGCGGATGATATGCCAGGCTCCCATACTTACGAGTTGTTGTGTAACCAACTGTGGGCGTTATTGCCTAGTTTCTGTAATAGCCCTAAAGATATTAAGGACAATTTCAAAGCCTTAGCGAGAGTTTTAGGTGAGTGTAATTTTTATCAACGGTGCAGTTGATTTGACGTCCATTGAAATAGGCTTGTGTCCTACAAGTGAATAAAGAATATTATATTATTATTATTATTCTTTCTTTGTTATATGTCCGGGAAATATTTAACCAACGATTTTACCATTTTAAATGTTTAACAAAATAAATTTTATGGCACTAGTTTAGAAAATATTGCGCTTTGAAAAGTTGAAAGAAGTAGGAAAATTTACTACAAACATTTGCTACAATACATGTATGTATTACTTACATAAAACGTTACAACTTTCATCTAACAACTATAAAGAAACGCACAAATAACAAAGATTGCCTAGACGCCCATACGTTTTTCGCTACCGTAGCACCGTGTGACGTCACTTAGTGTATTGAATTTGTAGGGAGCGTTTTTGGCTGACTAGCAGCAGTTTCACAAATACAGCACAATATCCGAAACTATTAATCCCAGACATGTTGTTACTTCTACATTATTTCTCAATGATGGACTATTTATTTTTAAAATAAAAAAAAAGAGTATTAAACTAGCCAATTGTCTTAGGTAAGCGTTAAAAGCAAATATTACTTTTAAATCTATTGTAAAATGTAAACGAAAAAGTTGAATGAAATTGCAATATTTCGATGGATTTAGCTATTTTCTTGACCATTCAAATCATCATTTTTTCTGGAAGCGATTGCGACTGTAAACATAACGTTATTCCATTAATCGCTACCACTTTCGCTACACCTTTGAAAGTGATGGCGAGAAATTTCGAAATAATTCAATTAGGTCACGGGTATCATGTTGACTCATACGAGTAGTAATAATTGTTTATATTAACAGGTAACGTCTTAAAAGACAACCCAGAGTTTCGTTTATCTGTGATGCAAGCGTTGAGGAAATTGATTAGTTGTTCTTCTGACAACGAAGAGGATACTACGGAGCTTGCTAGATTCGCTAAGAACTATTTGCCGATATTACTCAACATTTATATGTCGCCTGTGAAAGGAAGCAGCGCCGAAGGGCAGAGGTTAGCTGCCTTGGAAACTATACAGGTATAGTTCACAACCAACATTGTATAGTGAACTTTATCTCATTATCTTTAGGTTTATATTCGATAATATTGTAATTTCATACATTAATAAGGTGTATTAAAACATAAATTTATATGTTTCTGTATTTCTAGGTATATTTAACAATAAGCGATCAATCTCTAAGAGAGGAATTGTTCAAGAACGCAATACAGCAACTGGAAACGTCCTCAGACAATCATTTCCAGAGAGAATCAATTCTAGACATAGTTAGGTTGCTCGTGCTGTACCAAAGTAGTGAGCAAATAACAAATTTGTTCGATAAATGGGTGATACCGCTCTGCGAAACGGTTCTGGAGAATCCTAAACAACTAAAGAGGAATAAGAAAGAGAAGCAGAAGAGTGTAGCTATGGAAGAGGACAACACAGAAGACACAAAAGAAGATAAGAAAAAGGAACTCCGGTATGTACTTATAATTTTTTTGTTTTCTTTGTAGTTGTCTGGTCCTGAGAGGCCTCAAATGGTTGCAAGTTCCCTTGACCAAATTATATATTGGACTTGGAGGCCCCTTAGACAAAGAAGTCAAAGAAGCACAGCCTGAAGAGTACATTTTTTAATTAAAATTACTTTTACTGCCTTTTCTTTGTAATGTCCAGTTTCGTAATTTTTCTTTAATCTTTGATGAGGTTAGTCCTCCACTGACTGAATACATACATATCTAGGATCAGCATTTTTTTCTGTGCACTTATAGAGACAATCAAATCCATACATTTTCAAATCTTTTTGTAGTTGTCTGGTCCTGGGAGGCCTCAAATGGTTCCCTTGACCAAATTATAAATTGGACTTGGAGGCCCCTTAGACAAAGAAGTCAAAGAAGCACAGCCTGAAGATTACATTTTTTAATTAAAATTACTTTTACTGCCTTTTCTTTTTAATATCCAGTTTCGTAATTTTTCTTTAATCTTTGATGAGGTTAGTCCTCCACTGACTGAATACAAACATATCAGTGCACTTATAGAGACAATCAAATCCACACATTTTCAAATATAAAGTAATGCCTCTAAATATTGCACAATTTTTATTATTAGGTATAAAGATAAGGCAAAAATGTTAGAAATGGAACACAAGAAGGCATACAGGATACTAGAGGAGATATTCAAGAGTGACAGAGACAACTGCAAACAGTTCTTGACTGAAAATCACAAGAAGATAAAGAAGCTGCTGATGACGTCACTGAACAAAGTCGCAGATAGCAGTAAGGGTGCTAGACTTAGGTTAGTACAGACTTTCTATATGAGTTTTTGTCCTTCCTGTAAGAAAACTACCATTGTTTAATAATAATTACATCCATTAAATGACTCGCACGCTGGTTTCAAGATGTTGCCATCACTGCTCAGCTCAATATATAAAATAAACGTTTCCATATTGTCTCGCGCCTAGGTGTTGTGATACCTTGGTAATTGTTTTAGATTTCCTTAATAAAAGTTATTAAGCTTCTTGGGATTTTGATATTTATTTTTTAATTACGTAAGAACAGGGATGACGAGTAGGTAAAAAAAATGCAATTCTATTTAGTCCGTCACTCAGATAATAGAAAATTATAAGATACGTATTTTTTTTTATTTCAATTTAACAAGAAATAGCTTAGATGACAGGCATTAAAGTTGAGGAGGGGGGGCTCGCTACGTCACAGTTTAGTAGAAAACGTACCATAACGTGACGTCATACGAAATTTCAACTTCATGTAACGCCGTAATTTTATGATTACGAAAAGAATTGAAAAATACATGTTTAATATTTTTTAACACTACCTGACGGACAAACAAACAAAAATTAGTCGTCATCCCTACTACTAAAACTTTTCACCTTCCCTCCCCTCCCTCCATTTCCACCTTGAATACTTTTATGTAATAAACAAATTCTGCCCTACTTATTAATTTGCTAAATTAAACCTTTTTTAGATGCATGGAGCATTTAATAATGGCGTCACCTAATTTGACCGCTGAAAGCAAGTTACTACGCGGCGCTATAGCTGAATCTGTTATATGTACCCGTGATATCAACTCCAAGTGTCGACAGTGTGCATTTAACGTTATCAACCGCGTCGGCGAAGTGTTGAACCCGCAACAAGGGGGTAAGTTGAAATGTTAACCTTATTGCTATGGTCATAGAGTCCAATATGAGATCATGGTGATGAACGACTGACACTTTACTACTCGTTCGAGATATCATGATACCTGGCTCGGAACTTGATACGCCCCGGTCTTCCCCGTTAGACATCCCGCCATCGTCTTTCAGTAGCGACAGCATAACAGTTATCGTTTTATATGCGTCTTTGCACTAATAATTATTATTATTTTCGACAGAATTATATTTTGTCGGTATTAATTCATGAAACTTCTCTTACGGCTATTGTTATTGGATTTTTGTTAATTAAAGACGACAATAATAATAATAATAAAGATTTGTTTCTCTCCACAAACTTTTAAAAACTTATAAAATTCAAAAAATCTTAAAACTAATTTTAGTTGTGGATCGCTGATTACTATTTTAGGTAATTAAAACCTGTTTGCACAGGACACTAGGTCTCCACCCCCCAGAGTTTACAACATAGAAGATCATAAATATAAACATAAATAATTTTACAGAACAATATAGAAATACAGTTAAGAGGGCGCTTAAACTATAAATCGACCAACTTGATTTGTTTGGACGAAGAAAAAATGTCCTAACAACTACAAGCAAAACTGATCAAAGTGCATTAAGTATATGTGAGGTTATTGTCTAGTTCGATATTATAAATTTTGATGATATTTCCTAAAATTCTATAGTACTTAAAATTATACAGTTACCTCCAATATTTGTCAATTTCTATACAATACCAAAATTAGTATCAATCACTCCATGACGACAAATAGTGACTCAGTTTGTGTATAAGACTATTTAAGGAGCCAATTCAACAATGAAAGTGATATGTCTGTAATAGAGGAAAAATTATAGTAATAATTGGCCGTAAAAAATAATTAATAATTATTTCCTGAACATTCAGTGTCATAATTTACTAATTAGGCTCGCAGAGCTGCAACTTTTTGGCACACAATACTTTGCAGAAACTTCTTTCTAGTTAGATATCATCTTTTTAGATTTCATGTTAACTCAAACGAGTAGTCAATTCTAATTAGGTGATCTTACAGAACAGAATCAAAAAGTAGAAGATTTTTACAAATATGTACTTATAATAGGGATGATGACTGGGTAAAAAAAATGCAATTCTATTTAGTCCGTCAGTCAGATAATAGAAAAATATTAGATACGTATTTTTTTTTTACTTCAAATTAACAAGAAATAGCTTAGATAACAGGAATAAAAGTTGAGGAGTGGGGGCTCGCTACGTCACAGTTGAGTAGAAAACGTACTCTAACGTGACGTCATGCGAAATTTCAACTCAACGTAACGCCGTAATTTTATGATTAAGAAAAAAAATACGTGTTTAATATTTTTTAACACTCTACCTGACGGACAAACAAACAAAAATTAGTCATCATCCCTATTATACAATACTTTTGATTAAGATGAAAATGTCTCATGCAATTATATTTGATCATTTTTGCATTCGCAATGTTTATAAATATTAATCTAGAAGGAAAAAATGTATTACGGCTGTTTGGATGTATTGCCTGAACATTACTAAAAATAGGCACTGTAGTAGTGAAAGGAATAATCTCCTGAGTTATTTTTTTTAGTTCTGCTGGGTTAGAGCAGTTGCTTGGTTGAGAAAGATTGTGGGTTCGAATCCTATGTCAGGCATCTGGTACTGGGTAATTTTTAGACATTTTTCTTCAAAAATAAGCTCAATAAATTTATAAATCTCATCAGGTATGGTAGCTTTCGTGGATATGTTGGTATCCGGTTTGTCAGCACCGCTGCCTCGTATAGTGAGTGCCACACTGAGAGCTCTAGCTTCAGCGCTGTTCAACTTCTCCGAGGACATGGGCCTGGAGGTTGTCCAGCAGCTCCTTGAGAAGGTGGCTGAACAAATGCTCGTCAATGTCCGGGAGATAGTGGCAGGTGCTATGAGCTTCCTCAAGGTAAGTTTGTCTCATGCGAGTATTCATCACTCTAGAGTATTCTCAACAATCATAAAGTATTTTACCGCTCTGACAATTCCAATTAAATGTTCTAGTCTAATAAATCGGGTGTAGACAGTAAACAAACATAAATACTTTTTTCCGGTAGAATTTAATATACTATTACCGATAATCACACTTCTGTGGTTATTATATTTATATTTATAATATTGCTTAAATTAATTATGACATAATATGCTCGTTGTCTCGTAAACGCCAACAGTGCGTGACGTCACGCCCTTCTTACTCATATCAGAACTTAGAAGATTTAACCTTATGCATACATAGAACGATATTCGTTTCCAAATGCCGTGACGTTCTACCGACGTCATGACAGAAGTGGCGTTTCACGCCTATTTTTAACTATTTTAAATATATTTCATGTAAATCTATATAACGAAAATACAAAAAAGTCTACACCTCTATGAGATAACGCCGTTATTCCAATGTGATTTTCGTTTGTAGTGAAACAGATAGTACACCACATTCATAGTACAACCTTTTTTTTACTCATTCGAGTATGATTTTATTATGTAATACTAAAGTTAATGCTGTTTTATTTGTGATTATTTTATTTAATTTTTCATAATTTTAATATTTTCCCAATGTATTTGTAATTGTTTTTATAAATAGATTTATTTTATCATTATTTTAATTCATTTTTAATGTAGTTATAATTATTTTATTATTAATCAATTTAATTTTGTTGTTTAATCATTTTAATATAATTTTCATTTATGCTAACCACAATTTTATTTTAGATACATGTTATTGAGTTATAGCCTGATTATCATTATAATAAATGTATCTCTAATTCATAAACATGACTGTAACCTTTTACTTGTTGTAATAAAATAAATAATTACAGGTTTATACGAAAGTGTTGCCGACAGAAGTACTAGCTGGCAGTCTTCCTCTCATATTCAAGACGTTGTCCTCCATGTCGGAGGATTGCAAGAGACACTCGCGTCTGGAAATAGGATATTTTCTCAGCAGGTGACGTATCTCTATTTTTAATACGATTCAGTATTTGCTCAGTGTTTATTATATCTTAAAAATGTCGATAGAATGTATGTACGAAATTCCCGAGCTTCAGATATAAATGACATGGCCGGATTTTGTTTAGAGCAGTGCCCAAAAAAAAAAATTTATATACATTGTCATACTGTGGGTTATATTATAGCTGTTAAGTACGTCTTTGCAATATCACAAATCATGTCATTTCATAGCCCATTTGGAAACTAATGGATTGAATTGAAGTTTTCTATTTATATTAACAGATTTACAAAAGCTCTCGTATGCATATACCAATTGTACTAAGTGCAACCCACGCTTCATATGTTTTGATACCAGGGTTCGCTGATAAGTATCGACATATATATATCGATTGTATATACATCGATATATATCAATTATTACTTATAATATTTATTGTTAGTTTGAATATTGAGTATTCAGTCTCAGATAGAAAATTAACCAACCCGATGTGACTATAGCAATATTGGCCCGAAGCAGCATTCTTACTTACTAGAAATATCGGGTTTACCCCTATACGTGACTTGGAAACCTCGCTCGCATGTTATTTTTTAATTATTTCATAAAAAATAAACGAATATTAAATAACTCAAACTCTATTTTTATTTTACACTTTTGATTCAAAAAATCAAATATTAAACAAAGCCACTAGCAGCTCATAAATCGCAGCTTTTCATATCCATTATATATATCCAATATCGGATTAATATCATATATTGGATATTTTGATATTTATTATAAACATCGGATTTTTGCGATCCCTGTTTGATACAGAATGCTGAGGAAATATGGTTCTGACACTATTGAGAAACTGATCCCAAGTTCTGATGAAGTGATGCTGAGGAGACTAAGGAATATACGGAAGATGGACAACAGGAAGAAGAGATTGAGAGATGGACAAAGGTATGTATTTTATTGAAAGGGGTAGGAAAGGCTATACTAATATTATAATGAGCGAACAAATATTGTTTGTGCCAAGATTTTATAAATTCTTTCGTTTACGTTAATTATATCATAAGCGGGTGGCAAAGGCTTTATTTTACGCGGATCGCATGAAAACACTTAGTAATATAAACACACAAAAGCTACTGGGCCGATTTAAATATTCTTTCAACAAAATCACATTATCAGCGAGGGCATATTTTACCTACACTAATATTATGAAGAGGTGAAGTTTCGAACTGTTTGTTTAAGTAAAAAAAAAAAATCATTCACCTACGGAATTATACGGGTAAGGTCGCGGGAAGAACGCCGTGTCTGATTACCTCGTCCTGACAGGATACCTGGATCTCGATGACAATCCTTGACTTGAAAGCTGTGGTGTAATAGTTTATTTTAAAATCTATTAATCACTTTGAATTTGACATTTAAAAGATATTCACGAACTCCACGTTACGACTATTTGACATGTGATAGCAATCGCGACTTTTTTTTTAAGATATTTAATGAACGATAACGTTTATTTGACGTTAATCGGAATTGTTTAAGCAAATTGATAGTTACTAATATCTTTAAAAGGATTGGGAAATATCAAATCATCAGTCCAAAAGCGAATGTGACTTTAAAAAAAAAACATTCCATAAATCACACCCGCTATTAACGTTTGAATTATGTATAAGTAATTAAGTAGCATATAAATACGCGGCTGCGTCCGCGTTATGATTGTGAATTGAGACCAGTACGTAGAAAACCTTCTAGCTAGTGTTTTGCTCGTACCCTTGATCCGCATATAAAACAGAAAGCGACTATGATAGATTAAAAAATGAGACAGGCGACTCAATCCATTCTTGCTCTTACTAACTAAGCTCTCGGGTAGCGAAATCGGTTGAGCTGTCGTATGATTTACGAAAGGGTAGGATTTCAGTCCCATCTTGGGCAAGTAAGAGTGTAGATTTATTAAAAAAAATCTATAAACTAATCCTTCATTCCATTACAGAGAACAGTCCGATGAGTCTGATACAGAATTCTCAGTGAAGGGCACATCGAAAACTTTAGAGGACATTCTGAAGGATTCCGACTCCGATATGGAATACATGGACGAGGAGGAAGACCGGTCTAGACCTAAAGCTAAGAAAGCGAAGAGAACCAAGAACCAGGCGTGGATACAAGAAGACCCAGAGAATATTGTCGACTTGGCTGACGCGTCTGCCTCTAGGAAGATTACTGGTGAATAATTTTTAGTTATATATTTTTTCTTTGGGAAACAGCTTTGAGTTACATATACAGTTTAGTTTGGTTGTTGTCTAGATAGTTTTCACTAATAAACAAGTGATAAAGCCGTTTCGAGCAAACAATGAGTAATATAATAGGCAACAAGTTACATTAAAGCTTTTGACTTATACGTAACATGATGAAAGTTGAAGAGTTAGATGGAATAGTGGTTGGCGTTTTGTTCTGCGATGTCCACATTAATTTAGCATCGTCAAATCCTGTAAAATAGTACTACCTACGCCGACCACTGATAATAATACACATGCAAACAACCACTAAATCCAAAAGCATTTGAAAATCAGAAGCAATCAGTTAGAAACTTGACATATGCTTATTTTTTTTTTCTATGTGGCAGGTACCGATCCAACAAAGAAAAAGAAGTCTATAGATGTAAAAGAGAAGAAGAAAGATGGCGGATTCAAGACCGCGCCTGACGGTAGACTGATTATAGCCGACGACGGAGAATATGAACCCGCTACTACGGACACTGAACCACGATATCACAGCGACACCGATGATACTGGTGAGATTTTTTTTCTAGATTTTTTAATATACAGTATGTAACATAAACTAAAACTAAACATTCTGTATAAAATTTAAAAAATACACCAAAGCCTCACAAATCACAAACATAACTAATATCCACTTTTAAACTATCGCGCTACATTTCAAATACTTGTAGTACGGGGTATTATACGCGTTTTATAAACTCACCTGGACGTTTCGGCCGGGTTGCACCGGCCGTGGTCATGACGAGACTGAAACAGCAAGTTTACGCCTCTGCATCCGAGGATGAATCTTCTTCCACCCTCAGATTTTGTATCCGACTATCGTCGCAAACAACACTTACGCTGTCACTTGAGCCGTATTCTGAAGATTTACCGATTGCGAAAATAGAGATCGTGTTTTAGCAAATACTGGATTCCACGCTTGTGACAATTTATATGCGCCTTCCCAATTGAAGTTATTAGGGTGTTTCATTATTTCAATCGCTACTCTTGAATAAAAGTGTCGATCTGTGGAGAGGACTTGAGTTCGATAAAACTCGATCCAGTGATTTGTGCCCCTTTCCAGTAGGTGTTCTGGGTGACTGACGGTTTTGATAGCTGCTATGTGTTCTTCTTTAACCCTTTCCTCGATTGATCTCTAGGTTTGAACTATATTAGAACTACCACAGCTGCAGTCGATTTTGTAAACCACCGGCGTTGACAAAGGCAGAACATCCTTGGGGGTGCCTACGATGTCACTCACTCTTATTCAATAAGAGTGAGTGACATATTGAGAGACATGATTTTGTAAACCCCCGGCATTGAAAAGGCAGAACATCCTTGGGAGTGCCTACGATGTCACTCACTCTTATTCAATAAGAGTGAGTGACATATTGAGAGACATGATTTTGTAAACCCCCGGCATTAAAAAGGCAGAACATCCTTGGGGGTGCCTACGATGTCACTCACTCTTATTCAATAAGAGTGAGTGACATATTGAGAGACATGATTTTGTAAACCCCCGGCATTGAAAAGGCAGAACATCCTTGGGAGTGCCTACGATGTCACTCACTCTTATTCAATAAGAGTGAGTGACATATTGAGAGACATGATTTTGTAAACCCCCGGCATTGACAAAGGCAGAACATCCTTGGGAATGCCTACGATGTCACTCACTCTTGTCAGAGTGAGTGACATATTGAGAGACATGACTCTTATTCAATAAGAATATGGGAGTAGACAGTAAACGAAATTGTTTTTTCGGGTAATGTTTAATATATTCACACTTTCATACTTAATATATTAAATAATATTGTTTAAATTAATAACGAAAAAACAAATATTATATACTCGTTGTCAGTGTCAGTAAACAGCGCGTGACGTCACGCCTCTCTCATATCAGATCTTCGAGAATTAAACACTAAGCATGCATAGAACGATATTAGTTTTAGAGGGGCGTGACGTCATAGCGCGACGCCATGACAGAAGTTAGCGTCTTCGTGGGAAGTTTAAAAAAATATTTATTTTTGGTTTTGAACTTATTATATGAATGACTGTTTTTAAATACTTTTTAGATTATATATTTCATGTATAAAATAAAAATATTTAAAAAGGTCGTTTACATCCCCATTACATAACCGCTGTCGTTGCGGTAAAATCTTTTAAATGACTAATTTTCATTTAGATGACGAAGCATCGACTAGTAAGCCGTCTAAACTCGTCAAACCCGGCAGCAAACGGCGGTACGACGATATACTCAGTATAAAGAGCGGTCGTACCAACAGAAGTAGAGCTTCCACTGTTACCGTCAATTCCAAGTATAAACACGGAGGGAAGGGTATACACAGGTAAATCTTTTTTTATATAATACACAAAGAAATCGTTTATTACAAATATTGTGCATGGTACAAATCACGGTAATAAGGTAGTTTCAATAGTGAAAATTAGAAATTGAGGGTCTTATGTATGTATGTCAATAAACTGTAAGTAAATAGTGACAATTAGCAATACATAGCATATAACTAGTAACCCTGTAAATTAAGAGATATTGGAGAATTACTATAAAGAAAAATAAACAAATTAAATTAAAAAAAAAACCACTTCTTAATACAAAATTTCCATGGATGTTTGTGATGAATTTAAAACTTTATTGCGCTGCAATAAGGTTCAAATAAATGTATTTTTAATGATGCGGTGAGTACCATCGAGTAAAGAAGTGCTAATGGAAATCAGTTTTAATTTTAAATAAAACATTTTTTTGGAACTATAAATCACAGATTTTATAATATTCTAGAAAATAGTTATCGATTTTGCACATCACTTGTCAACCCTCAAAAGCAACAATATTTTTTAATGTAAAAACGTTTGTAACTCTTGACCAAAAAGGTCACCTATCCCTGCATTACTACTATGAAGCTCTCCATATATTGTGTTTCAGCTCTCAAACTAAATCCCTGAATGATATGTTAAGTTAACAGATCAACTGTCAGCAACCTAGACCAATACTGTTGGTCTAACAGGATTGGTCTAGGATTGTGCTAACCATGTGCTAAGAAAAAGTGCATTAGTGACGAGCTATAACCGCTGATCTATGTAAAATGTTACTCGCAGTTTGAGAATCTATGGTTTAATAACTTTCCATGATATTTCATCCAGACCGTTGGGTTCCGCTGCATCGGTATCATCTACTGTAGGCACCGAGTACAGATCAAAGAAATCTAAAGGAGATATCAAGAAGAAAGGAAAGCATGACCCTTACGCGTACTTACCACTGTCAAGAAAAAATCTCAACAAAAGGTATGTATAGTCAAAAATAGGCTTTTATAATTAATTGAAACTTGTCGGTCAAGTCTCTTAGAAGATGTAACATACTGAGCCATAGGCGACTTAACATGATATTTAAACAAAATAACGTTTATACAAAGTACAGTGTACAAAAAAATATACATTTCGAATTTCATAATGTATTTGATATAAAAAAAACTATGTTGCAATATTATCTGAACAAAAACACAATAATTAACAACAAAACATCCAAACTTGATAAAAAAAATCACACAAAGAAACGTAACAGTTATGTTATCGCTACTGAGCTCACATGGCAACGGCGAGGCATCGTGTTGGGTGTGTGAAGAGACCAAGACAACTGTCATGTTAATTCAAGTTGCATATGCCGTCTCTTTAATTATATTTTCTAATGATTTTGACAATAGTATAGTTGGATAAAATCCTTTATTTAATTATTATTTTCAGATAAAACAGTTGTATTTTTGCATTCAATAATAAACTGTCAGTGTAATTTTTACATTGAGTGACTGAAGGACCAGTGCACTATTTCATTACATGCTTATTGTCAAAATAGGGAGGATGACTAAATTTTTTGTGTTATCAATAAATTACGGCGATACATTGAGTTGAAATGTCGCATGACGTCACGCTTTCGTACGTTTTCTAGTAAACTGTGACGTAGCGAGCCCCCACTCTTCAACTTTAATGCATATAATCTAAGCCATTTCTTGTCAAATTGAAGCAAAAAAAGTATCTAATATTTTTCTATCTGACTGACGGATTTAATAGAACTTTTTAAACCAGTCATCATCCCTATAGTCTGACAAATGTCATCTTCCACTTATTGTATTTTTTTATTTGAAAATCAATTGAGTTCAGAGAAATCACTTGATGGGAGAGACAACTGTGAAAATTACACTGCTGTAGCTTCATCCCAAAAGACATTAAAACAGAAACAAAATAACGGTCTCGACTCTTAGTCGGTATAAATTAATATGTGACATTGTTTTTTCATTATTTTTTAAAATTATTTATTTGTTTTGTCATTTTAATCAAATATTTGTTTTTTATAGGACTAAAGCAGTCACATCCAAGCAATTCAAGGGCGTCGTCAAGTCGAAAACTAAAATCGGCAATAAAATGAAATCAAAAAGGAAAGTGTAGCGAAATAAATTTTTATGATTGTAATCTGTTACTTTATTACAATGTGATAAGAATCAAATTACAACTGTTCATAATTTTATTCAGAAATATTGCACTACAGAACGTAGAACTAGGCTTATACAATTAACTTCATACTGTAATCGCTAGGGTGCAGAATTCAATATTTAATTTCCCATATCTCCTTAAATATATTATAGATACTTATCTATACCTATACTATAATCGATGATAACGTAATTGATCGATGTCTGTACATTGAAGATATTTAAAAAAAAACTGTAATGAGGGACATTTATAAGCGTTATAGAACACAAAACAATGATTGATTGAATTTGAATTTTTTTGTCTGTTTGTCTGTGGGTTTGGGTTTCATCTCTCATGAGAGGGTGTAGCGTACGGGTTTTGGTGGGTAGGCCTCTGGGGATGCACTAGGCAGCTCACTGTCGGGTTCACGGAGGAGAATCCTACTCAGCCGAGACCTCCTATTCCACATATCCCTACTGACAAATCCGCACTGGTAGGGATACTAGGATTTTTATTCCAATTATGACATTAAGTGTTCATAAAATAAAACTTAAGTCATGAAAACGATTTTAATACAAAGAATGTATGAGAAGGTAAATTTGTGACAAACGCTAGTCAAATTTGCACGAAACTTAATTACTATTAAAACATAACTTTATTTGGCACAATGTTAAACATAAAATTGTACTCTGTTGCATTGTACAACACAATGTATCCGTTTAACTTACCATAGCTAAGAAAGAACCTACTGTAATTTCTGCCGTAACAAGTGCCGTAAAATATCACGTAAAACATATGCCTGGTTTCGGAGTTTTGGTGCTTTCAAGTAATTTATAATACAATTCAAGCGGTTTAATATATCATACCTAATTTTAAAAACTTATCCCTACTGGTAGCGATAAATGGAAATAAAAATCCAAGTATCCCAACCAGTGCAAATCGGTGGAGTTATGTGGAGTAGCAGATTCCATATATCCCTACCGGTAGCTATAATTGGTAAAATCCAAGTATCCCTATCAGTGGAGATTTGTCAGTGGGGATATGTGGAATAGGGGCCAGAGACAATGTCAGAAGCTTTTCCACGACGTTAGAAAAAGTTAGATTCACGTCAACAGAACTTAAGAACGTAAAGACAACTCGAGTTATATATTTTTTTGTCTTATTACAATTTTTTATGTTAATACTCTTTTTGTTTTTTTTTTAACATACATATTGCTGTAGGTACGTACTTCAAAGTTGGTATTTTCAGTCTTCGCTGGAAACAATGGTTTATTCATTGGTTACAACATTCATATAATATTACGCGAGTCTGAGGATCGGTTCATAGTAGTTCGGTGGCGAAATATTTTCTCAAGCAACTCCAAGCTTCAGAAGGCACGTAAAGCGATTGGTCCCAGTTGTATTTGCAGTCGTTAATATCCTCCAATCCGCATTGGGCCAGCATGGAGGGTCGTGACCCATCCTCGTTAACCTCCATAAGGAAGGCCTGAGCTCAGAAACTTAGTTAAGCACCTCTCAGAAGTATGTGTTAGTAGACGATTTCCTTTGAGTGTGGAAAGTCGAAATTAAAATATGTATATATGTTTTTATATCAATAAATAAGACTCCACGTATCTTCCGTCAGACATCTACCGACCGACTTTTATTGACAAGAAAGGGATCGGACGGAAAGCGCTTGGTCTTGGACCTGAAAAACGCGAAGCGTATTTAAGTGCCCATCGCGATGCTCATGCACTATAAAGTCGAATCTGAAGCATTTACCGTCAGGGACAATCTCCTTGAGCTCTCGGAAAACTCATAAAACAAGCGTTTTAAGGAAACTTCTGAAGATCGCATAGCGCGTCTAACTGCTGATCGTAACATACATACAGTATGGTGTGAGTATGAAACTTCCTTTGATAGTGAAATGCGCTTGGTCTCTGAAAGAGCTCGCAGTTTGCACAATAGAGATCGAGAAAGTAGTTTTGATTATCACCAACCCGTGTTGCCTTCATACTCCACAGGCGTTCCGCAGATAAATTTTCACAGGGTATAATGAGCTAGCTGTTTTCCCGCGACTTTGCTGCAAAATTATAGCCTATGACATCCGCGTCTGATGTAGCTTCCCATAGGTCGGAATCTCTTTGAACTACCACTATCGGTCCAGTAGTTTTAGAGCAAATTCGATGCAAACAAACAAACAACCAAATCTTTCCTCTTTATAACATTAGTATTGCTTAGGTATAAGAGGTCCGATGGCGTAGTAGGTTAGCGCATTCGGTTTAAATTGCAGTTATATAAGTAAGTAAATACTGCACAACAAGGACATACATGAATAATTATTTTACATAACTAAGTCAAACAAACGACAAACTCATCCAGGGAACCTAGCATTACATGGAAAATAGAACAATAAATAGCCGATTGTGCATACAACTAGACAACGATAAAAAGATCAAAAACAAAAGAAGGACAGTATAAAGGTAGAATAAAATGCTCAGACATAAGCGACAACCAAAGCGCGAGCAACGAAAAAAAAAGATAGAAAAATAACATTCGTAAGGACCGTTCACAGGATGGGTCACCAAAGCATTATTATCTTGAGCACTGTGCACAACACTGGACAAATGCACGTTAAGCCGTTGGTCCTGGCTGTATCAGCAATGTTAACACCCACCGCATTAAGTCCCCAACTAGCAAATTAGTCATATAAGGTAAAGTTTATTCAGCTTTTCGGTGTTATAAAAGTCGAGTAAGTGTGAATTATTCAGTACGTATCGTATAAAAGCATCTTATATAGCTTTTGAGTTATTCAGCATTTCGGTCACATAATGATGCTGAGTAAACGTTTAGTCAGCATCCTTATATGACTTAAGTGTCATATAATATTTTGCTGAATAAGTCGCTAGTATACGACGCTTATGTTACTATTTCGTCGAGTAAAAGCATATTATATAGCTTTCTTATGGCAAGGTTGACTCAGTCGAGTAAAAGCAACATTGTTGCTTTTATACTACTATTATGTAGTATACGTCGCATTTTTACGACTATTACAAGCCTTAAATGTCGTATAATTGTATCCATTACTCCATAATAAACAATCTTTTTTTTAAAAACGGTCAACTTCAGCTACAACAACCATTTCAGGTTATAATTATTTCTAGAAAAAAAAATAAAAGATATTAATTTCTTTTCAGAAATAAAGCAGTTCCTGTTGTGTAACTTGTTCTAGTTTTGTTGTGTACAATAAATAGTTAATTAAATAAATAAACAAACAAAAAGTCTTTTTTAGAAAACTTTTTAGGAAGTTCTAAGGAACCCTAAACTATAATCAGAGTGGTATCATGGCGCTCATACTGCTAATTTGCTGTATAAGAAGCTATTATACCGCCTGTCAGCAGTAAAAATGGTGTACAAAAATAATATTGATATAAAAATATTTGTTATTATATTCATATTACTAAGAATTAAAGGGGGGCGTTAAATATTTATGATATAACCTAGTATATTTCCTCAGAAAACTTACCTTCGCAATACTTTACAACCCTATGCGTGAGTTTACGAACCTACATTTGGTGCAACCTACAAATTAACATGTCTGCTAAATAAATTGTACTTACCGATGAATTATAATTTTTAAAACACAACACGTCGAAGCACTTGCTTATTTTATTTTCTATAAATGTTTTCAGCTGTTTTGTATCCCAGGTCGCTTCAATAAGACAAACATGTCATATAAAAGTCATATAAGTTACAGTTATAGCGCAACATAAGCTTGTAACAGTCACTCCGGCGATAATTACGTGACGATTTACCTGAATAAGTTACCTTTATACGATGCCTATGTGACTGAATTGCTGAATAAAATGGGCCCAAATCGCGTTGTATAAACGTTTTCATTACGTTTATACGACTTCTATTAGGAGCCAAAATGCTGAATAATTTTCGTTGCCGCGACTACTATACGACATATTTTTGCTAGTTGGGTCCGCATAGTCGATTATGGCTCATTGATCTTATTCGATTCGACTCCATTCATAGGAAAAAAATAATTCTACCGAAATACCTCCTACGCAGACGAAGTCGCGGGCACAGCTAGTCTATAATAATAGAAGATATTTATCTGTCTCTTTTCTAGTTTCCTGTTCTATATTAGTATATTTCATGCATTAAAACGAAAACACGTTGATTTAGACTTGTTTAAATGATTGAATGTGTAATAAATCTATATATGTAAATTGTTTTTTCTTCAACCCAATAATTCTCCTTTTCTATAACGTAGGCAAAATTGTTGTATTTATGTAAAACATATACATCTAGCTAGAAGAGCCAAAGAATCGAAATATAATGGTGAGGCGGAACGCAGGGCTTTTTTAACTCCCAAATTATTATCGCCTCTGTACTGGTTGTAATAAAGTCGAAAATCGCAACACTAATAATTTAACTAGCAGCGACCTCCATCTTATCTGCTAACAATCGACGGCAACATGAAGGCTATGAATTTGTAAGGAGTAAAATAATCACATCATTTAAAATGCAAAAACCATTCATAATTATCAGTCCTTTTACTTTCACACTGCCTGCAGTGAGCCCCATAGATTCATGCCCCATATTATGGATGGTTAAGGAGAATGGGCCATGACCCTCTACGCTTGCCCAATGTAGATTGGATGGTATAACGACTTCAAATGCAGCCGGGACCAATGGTAGCAAAAAAATTTTTTGGTTAGCCATCCTGTGATCGACCCTTGCGAAAGTTGATGACTGCAGGTCGCGGCGCTCCCCTACTTATCCACTACGCTACTGAGCTAAAAAACATTGAGAAATAATTATTGCCCTTCCATATCCCACAGTTTTCCTGTCAGTAAATAGATATTAACCGTTCGCTTCCACCCTCAGGGCCGCCACATGGGGGGGGGCAAGTGGGTACTGTTGCCCCGGGCCCGGACACAGGGGGGGCCCGGTCCGGTCCCGTACCGGTCCTGTATTTAGTAAATAAAGTATTTTAGAATTTTGAGGCCTATATAAAACAGACTGTATTACACTTGACGGGCCCGAATAAGATTATATTTGATTTAATCATTGTTTCAACTAATTCCTTCAGCCATCTTGTTACAGAGACTTTCCTTTTTAATCCGTCCATAACATTAAAATAAAGTTAATTATATGTGTTGATTAAATATTATATAAAATTTAGTCAATCATAATTTCTGCCACAATCGTACCTTTGAGGAATTAGTTGATTGGAACTTCTCTGAATACGCCCTCTATTCACCAATAATTTAAAGTATTTAAAGTAGTTAAAATAAAAATTCACAAAAGAGAAGGTTTAATAGTTTTTTTTTTAACAATTATCATAGCCATCTCTAGTAATCTGGTCCCGGGCCCGACTTGGAGATGTGGCGGCCCTGTCTACCCTACCCGCTTCCCTGCACCGCAAGTCCAGGTAGAACCTCCGAGTATAGTTAGCAACGACATCGAGTTCGTCACATAAACTGACAAATAAAACTCGTCACAGATTAGTTGTGACTTGTGTTGCATTATTCAGAACGCAAATGATGACTTTTCTGTTTGGTTTGCAAAGTTACTGATGCCGATTATTGACTGTACATATAATACGAGTCATTTTTCACTGAGTTCAGAATAAAAATGGAGTAGATTCTATGTTAGACTGTATGTTTTCAAAATACTATAAGGCGCTAATAATTACAAAATTCACAGCTAACCGACATCAACAAAAGTTTTTTGAATATTAAACAGTTTTATTTAAAAAAAAGGTTAGTCATGGAGAGCTGACTATGTCTACTAAAATTAGAGTCAACTTACATTATTAAAAATTGTAGTAAAAAAATACAAAGTTGTAGAAATTCGCGTTTTAATCTAAGTGAAATTTGAAATGACGTTACAGTATGTATATAGATTATAACTTGCAATATACATACTGTATCGTCATAATCAACCTTTTCAATGTAATGTATACAAGTTAATCACCCTGTCTATGAAAAAAAAACCACATCAAAATCCGTTGCGTAGTTTTAAAGATTTTAGCATACATAGGGATATAGGGACAGAGAAAGCGACTTTGTTTTATACTGTGTAGTGATATACATATATTAATTTTCATTTTATATATTTAATTGATATTTGCCCTAACTTTGTGCACGACCCACAATCACCTGCATCAATCAACAGGTTGCCTTGAAGAAATCGCTTTTCAGCGATAAGGCCGCCTATTGCACAATAGTAATTAATTTTATTTATTTTTTGTTCCTTACAGTGCATTTATTTTTACTTTTTTGTGCAATAAAGTGGTAAATAAAAAAAAATGTCCCTACAGCCGGAGCTCATTCCGTCCCTATCAAATAGTAAGAATGGTCAATAATACACCACTCTAGTTCAAAGGAGATTGGTGGGTGGGTATTAACGATTAGTAAGGAGTAAAATAAGTCCTCTGAAGTATGTAGGAGCTCGGGATAGTAAATAAATGGTCACCCATCATATGACCGGCACTTGCGAAAGTAGCTTAATTTCCGCTATTATCGCTACGAATAGGCCCCGTAACTACTGGATTGATTATAAAAATTCTTTCAGCTACTGGTAGCTACGTCATACCGGGTTGACATAGGCTATAAATTACGCGTGCGTAGCGTAGTCGCAAGAAAACAGCTAACTAGTACTATATATTCCACTAAACGATTCCTTAGGGATAAATGTACTGTCAAAACATCGTGTAAACCAGGCGAGCGAAGCCGCTGGCGCAAAGCTAGTATTAAATAAACAAATGTTAGATAAAATCACATGCATTGATCAAATCTCAAATTAAATAGCTTTTAGTACTTGTGTAATGTTAATCTAAAACAACGAAGGTTCTGTAGAAAAGTTCATATTCCTACATTAACCAAACCGGGATTGAGCCTGTAACCTTAAAACAGCAAGCTACACCTTGAAACCAACGTGCATGCCACTGACCAATTTTGAAACATTTCGCGCAGCAAATGAAGTTCAAAATCACCAGGGAATTACATTAAGATCTTCGACACTGTTGTGTACTCAATAGCACGTCTACTTGTATAAGACTGAAATTTCAGTCTTTTTCTAATCGATTTTAATTAAGCCTTAGTCTCTGCATGTCCGAGAGACGATATGTTGCACATCGTCCGCTGCTGATACATCAAAACTGGCATTCAACCTTAGCAATGTACATACGTACTCTACGGAATATACGTCGCGTAATAACGGATACTACCGTGAGACACATAGAGATCTTTCATCGGATTTGCACCGACCATTAAAACTGGTATCCTGGTATGATCGTATGTGTGTATGTGTAAATACATGATGAAGTGCACGTGCGTATTTTGAGAATCACTACTGTAGTTGAGATTTTTGAAGGTAAGGGTTCGGTTCTCGATCGATTCAATGTATTAATCAATAACTATTTCCTTGTCATAGTCAAAATCAGATAATCACCGGTAAATAACAATAAGTTTTACATGTGGATAAAAATATTCTATCTGTTACATATTGGTTTCAAAATATGATGAATTAATTGACCGTTAAGACATTTTGCATTATCATCTAATAATTCTCGACGCTCTCACAGATACAATTGCATCATAATGAATTTAAAACAAAACCAGTTTTTTAAATAGGTCTTTCGTGAGAACAACTATGGCGTGCCGTTCATTGCACGGTGAGAATCTGGCCAAACAATGGAGTTTTGGAGATAATTGAAACAAGATGTTTTAGTTATTGAGGTATTTGCCTTTATTTTGAAAAGGAGGCGTTTCACTATTACGGATAGACTTATTATATAAATTTATTTATATTTTTACATGGAAATTTGCATCACATTAAATCATTATTATTCCTAGGCCATTTATCAGTATTGAATTCAGTATTAACAATGAGTTATGTCATTTCAAAAAAATACAACCATTCTGTAAAAGCTAATTTTAATTTCCATCGATTCATACCGACTGTCGACTTTTACAAAGATTTTTTCAAAAAAAATCTTACTTTTATAATATACAAAAAAAATACAAACGATTCGCATCTCGGTGAAAAAAAAATGAGATTTACAACTCTTAACGTAGTGACGAATCCTGTGGATATAATTTGTGATCTTTTTACAATAGACGTCGCGACTCGATTCAACTTTTTACAGAATAATAAATATACAAATATGTGACTACACAACCGGTGATTGTTTAATTAGCACTTTTCGTCGGCGAGGACGTCCAGCGCAAAGCCGAGATCGAGCACGGCGGAGGACGGCCGCTTGGCGTGCGCGTGCGCGTGCGTGTGCGCGTGTTTCGCGCGCGGCTTGAACTCCGGCACGTGACCGTTGAGAGCATGCCGCACGTCGCCAGGAAACAACTCGCTAAACGTCTGTTGACTCTCCTTACCGGCCGTCGCACTACACGTCACTATCAGTTTCCGCACTTCGGGTTTGTTCGTTTTACTAGCGTTCATATGTACAGTTTTGGATAACGACAGAGCGTTCTGTCCGTAATAGTAGTTGTTCGCGCCGGAGTTTTTACTTGACCGCGAGAGCGATGATTTGATGTTACTCCGGACAGTGGCAAACTTTTTACCGAGGGTTACCGCACCGCCGGCACACGATGCGTTGAACGTGCACAGCGCGAGTGGCCGCGGTGATGATGAGTACCAACACACGTCCGCCGGCACCAGCGGCGGCGGACCGTCGTCCGGTTTTTCGAGCATAGCCGCCGGCGCCGTCTCCACAGGCGATGCTATACTCAAGATCGGCACCTCCGCCGGAAACTCGGCATCGTCCGGCAGCAGGAACGGGTCGGTCAACGGCTGACTTAATAACGAGGAGATATTCGTCGTGTCCGGCAGCACTGCGCCGGAGTCTTGCAGCAAACTTTCTACGATGTTATCGACCTGTTGTTCGGCCGTGAGTCCGTTAAATTCGCCGAGATCGATGTTCGCGTTGACTAGGAGCGGTGGGATGTTGAGAGCGCGGGTCGCCGGCGGTGGGGGCGCGGCGCCAGCGTCACGCGAGGCGCGGTGCTCCGCCAGCAACGTGTCGAAGGGCTTGGCGCGCCCTTCCACTGTCCTCCGCAGCGATAGCGCGTGTGCTTTGCACGTGAGGGACCGCGTGCATGGTTTTGGGTTCTCCGCAGTCACTACGCCGCAGTGTTTGTTCGGGTCGTATTCTCGCAAGTTGAATTTCGTTTTACTCGATTTCGATCTCGACGGCGTCTTCGCTGTCGGTTTGCTCGCCGCCGCCGGTTTTAAAGCCTGCGTCTGATTGAGTATATTCTTATCTATCACTGAGGGCATGATGGGGGTAGTGTTCGGTATGAACTGTATATTTGATAGATCTGCCTCTGGTATTGAGTATGAGGATAGTGTTGTTGGATGCACTGTCGGGTATAAATCTTGAGTAGGTACAGGCTCCGTCACCTGAGGAAAGTTTATATCTGGCATGTTACCTATATCCCTTATGATATTCTTCCAGTCTGTTGAATTTGCTATATCATCGGCAGTTTGGATACCCTCTGAATTCATTATATCAAAGATGTCATCTGTGATATTTTCACCGAGAGGTAATTCTTCAGTATCCTGTATACTGACCACTGGTAGCTCTCCTGTTTCTACGCACACTTGTACTTCTCCTGTTACTCCTGAAGATGTACTAGCTTCATCAAGATACTGTAATTCAGACTGTGGTAAAACTATCCTCGAGATAGGAGCTGTTGCGGTATGGATAGGTGATGTCTCCATTTTCACTGGATGTAGATCTATGGGCAAAGGGGGTGGTGCTTCCTTTTTGTGTCGACTCCTGCTTTTACTTGTGCTAATAGGCGGCGGCGGTGGGAGTATCGGTTCGGCATTCGAGTGGGAATCTAATAAATGTCTATAAGCCGCACTGCACTTCACTATGACACCACACATGTGACACACGGCGGCGTTTAGGTCGTCTAACTGAGGAAAGAGTCCATGGAGGCTCATAGCCTCGTATTTGAGACGATTGTGGCCCGGTCGCCGGTGGCGGGCCGGCTTGTACGGATGGGAGGTGTGGACGCGACGGGCGGAGACGCCCTTCGCGTCCACCCCCGACGGCACCATAAACCCGTCATCGTCCCGCCGCGGCGACAGATGACCTATCTCACTGATCCACAGATCCCACGGCTTCTCATTGCACTTCACTGGGCTTACTATTTTCGGAGCGAACGGAAAGTCACCGGACATTATTCAAGTTTCACACGTTAACCAACACAAAACTTGAGCCTCATGGAAAAGCCATGTCAGGACCTCTGGCACCACTGTTAGGTTATTATCCCATTTCTGTTTTCGTATTGCTTGCTCGTCGATCACTAATCAGGGTCACATTGTAGCGTTAATGTTTACTTCATTATTTACATTCACTTATCTAATACGTGTTATGATTGTTTTAGCTTTTATATTTACAGGGACAGATGATCTATCTCACTGACAGCTGATTATGCAGATTGTAAGTTTTTTTACGAGACGGGACACTTCCATCTGTCGATGATTACTCTTATAGCAGTCTTCATGTCCTAATTTATAAAAATTAACATTAACTTAACTGTATTTATGTGACATTAAACTCGTTTCACACAAATAAAATGTCCAAAAATTGTGTTTGGTTGGTTGAAATTTACTATAGAAAGCATCAACACTTTTTTAAGGTATTCTATAGAATAAAATTCTCTATGGTCTTAAGGATGTAATGAAATCTGAGTATTTCAATTTTTAGACAATTAATGGAATATTTTGCTTTATTTGATCCAAATTAGTAAAAGTAGAATATAATTTATCCACGTATTATCCAAAATAATCAAAATTGTTCCTTTTTTGTATAATTGAACCAAGCAATTCACCATCAATAGAATCTTTAAAAAAATACGAGCTTAGTTAATAAAAGGATAATTGATTGAGATATTATGAAATTAAATTAGGAAGATAGGTTACGAATATATTGAAGTAAATAAGATTAAAAAAAACTATCATTTCACTAATAATTTTTATATACTGATCGAAATTAACTAAGGCTCAGATTGCATTTCACTCTTTTATAGACTTTGTATTATAAGCTACAATGGGTCGGATTTGTGTTTTATCGTAGTGCCGTTTGAACCTATAAAAGATTAGTATAACTTTTATTTGAAAATACCACTTAAAAAATATCTTTTATCATCGAACTGTAATATCGGTTTTTTACGATACTAACTACATCTGAAAATAAAACGATTTCTCTGTGGTGCATCCATGACTGAGAATGACAGTGACAGATAAATGTGTCATTCAAAACAATTTAGAATTGCTCAAAAGAAAATAAAAAATCTGAATTAAACTCGAAGTGGAACACTAACGAAAATATATACGATATTAAAATGTTATAAACATTAATTTTTGAAACCATTTGACATGTCCGGTTATCTTCACAAGCACAAAGTCACGTTCCGGCGTCTACATGTGGATACGAAATTTCTGCCGATCCCTATTTTTCGGTATACCTATGGGAGCGACAGTCCTTGATACCGTCGGGTATGTGGCCAGAGTCGAGGGCATCTCCATGCAGCCAGCACTCAATCCAGAATCGACCAACACTGATTATGTTTTCTTGTCGCGATGGGCAGTCAGAGACTATGATGTCAAGCGTGGTGACATAATATCTCTCGTCTCACCTAAAGATCCTAACCAGAAGATCATTAAACGTGTAGTTGCACTACAAGGTGACATTGTGAACACTATGGGTTACAAGAGCCAGTATGTGAAGGTTCCGGAAGGTCATTGTTGGGTAGAAGGTGATCACACAGGACATACTCTTGATAGCAATACATTTGGACCTGTTTCCTTAGGATTAGTTAATGCTAAAGCAGTGTGTATTGTTTGGCCACCAAGAAGGTGGCATTATCTTGAAAACAAATTACCAGAGCACAGAAAGCCTATTAGCAGTTCTTATTAGTGCAGTCTATAATTTGATAGTTAATGATAGTATTTGTATCTAAATGATATCCTTATATTACTAGTTCCTATTATGCTATTTTCTATGCTTCAAATGCCTTGTAAATATGTATCTCTTTTGAAACAGTACCCAATTGTTCTTTTCTGATTTCTTACAATGATCTCTTGCCTAGTCTTAAAATGCCACAGTTTTGTGATTATTTACATCTTATCTGGCTACATTGTACTTAATGATCAAGGTGAAAATTGCTATTTCCAATTATATAAAAATAAAATATTATTTTAATACAAATCTGATAGTCAAAAAAATTCATGTAAAATTAATGATAATTTATAAGGTTGAAATGATGAATAAATGTTGTGGATTTACTATGGTTTTGTTAAATAAACATGATGTAAAATTACATAAATCTTTAATTTCATAAATAAAACTTATAAGTAATGTTAAATTTACTTTATAGCATTATTTAACGCATGAGCCTTTAAAACATTTATAATTTTTTCAAATGATATTCCCTTCCTAATTATACTGAAATACCCAATCCTTGATAGATCAACAACTGTTGAACCCATTCTATCATCTTCACTTTGGCTTAAAATACCTCCATCAAAGACAGCTGCCAATTGTCCATATAGATGCTGGAACTCATTAACAGACAATGTCGATGGCTCATTACTGAAATTGGCACTGGTCAGTGCAACAGGCATATCAAATAAATTGGTCACTTTATTCATAAATATATGATTTGGAATTCTAATACCAATTTTAGTTGTGGTTGGGTTAAGGTACGGGTTATTTAAATATTTTGTCTTTTCCAAAACAACTGTCACTGGACCTGGTAGGAGACTACAAAGTAGTGCATCAGTGAGGTGCTCAGCCTCACCCCATTTCCTCAAGTCTGTAATATTTGTAACACATATAGCTACAGGCTTCCCTGCATCTCTTCCTTTTATGTTGTAAAGCTTTTTTATTGCTTCTGGACAATTGGCACTACAAGCTAAACCATAAATAGTGTCAGTTGGCACTGCTATGACTGCACCATTTTCTAACAACTCTGCAGCTTTGGAAGCTGCTGTTTCATTTGCACATTGTATAACAGACGCCATCTCAATCTTCATTTTTACAGAAGCACTTCTATATTTAAAAAAAAAACTACTAAGGCTTTTGAAATTTTTAAATAATTTCATAATCAGTCACTAAAGTGGATTTTCACAACAACAAAATGTTTATTAGTCCCTCCAGTTGTGTGCGCATGTGTGGTTACAACACCTATAAAAAGTAGTCATTGGCTCATCAGCTGAACGAGTTTGTAACTGCATGAAGTATGCTCTACCATGTCCACATTTAGGGCATACAGCATCAGTCGAGTCTACGTTCTCCCATGCGGCTGCCCCACCCATAATATAGTCGAGTTCCTGAAAAGTGATTTGTAGATAATAAAACTGATTTACAACAATCATTAAATGTATCAATTTGATAATTTGAACAGAACTCACCTTTAATTTCGGAAAAGTGCGGGATGACACCTTCTTCCTAATATTGAACACATAAGGGCACGTGTTGCAAGCATATCTTAGTCCAGATTCCGGAGCCTCTTCTACCATCAATATATTTGCACATGTTGGGCAGAACAACATAATTTTTCTGTATCTTTTAAATTACTATACTCGTTTACAGTATGATATGCCAAACATACTTTAAGCCCTTAAAATCTGACATAAATTCAAGTTTAAAACATCACATAATTCAATAATTCGAACTTAAAAATGTTATTTTTGCATGGTTATTTTAATTCACAGATAACCTATTTTTTATGTTTTACGGCCTCTGCACAGACTTAGTAGGTATGGCCTCTGCCACACTCTGCCATTTACCATCCACAGACTTACTTAGTTTACCATCTTGACTAGATATTAACCATAGACATAAAAGAAGAGGACCGGCCATACCTACGAAAAAAGCGTATATGCCTAAACTTGAAATGCAAATTCTTCGATGGCGGACTGTCATAGGGCGCGACCCATGATATCGATATTTGTATCGACATTGAAGTCATATTAAATAAAAGTTAGTAATTCGTGAAACTGCTACAAAACAACTACTTATTAAATAAAGTAATATAATTTCCATTGTTAGGCTAAACTATTACCTATTATACTTCTATTCGTTTCACACTTACGTACCAATCCTATTTATGATTATTATTAATTAAATAGATAAATTCACGCCAGTTTTAAGAAAATAATATTTTGTTAAAAGTGGCGTGAATTTATCAATTATTTATAAATCTTTAAGCAATCTTTTGCTCGTGTTTTGTTGGACACCTAAAAGTCTCATTGTTCTTGCGACTCCGTTGCGTCAGTATAGTAATTATAACCTATGTTACCAGCGTATGATGGCGTTTCCCACCGGTAAAAGATTATTCGTATTCCAAATTTCATCAAAATCCGTTCAGTAGTTTTTGCATGAGAGTAACCAACATCCATCCCCACAAACTTTCACATTTATACTATATAAATATTATTTTATAATATGATTGTACCTCGATAAATATGTTTCTTTTTCCTCTAATATAGACTATTTTACGTAGTTTTAAGAACTATAGTACCAAAATATATATCTTAAAAGTTTAACAATAATATCAATCGTGTTTTATAATTATTTCCATATATATTGTAAAGTTGAAATTTTGCAACTATAATTAAATAGTTTTTTTAACATAAGTTTAATTTTGCATCCACGGGAAGTGTGACCACTGTCCAAGATAACTGCCGCGGTGACTATGATAAGCTTTAAATGAGTCGATTGACGAAAGAATTATTATGTTTTTTTTTGTCTGTTATATATTTTTTATTGTTATAGTGGAAAGTGACATTTTGGTGCAATGAAGTCATTTTTTATTTTTCAGTACGAAATTAAACAGGGTGCAAAAGCAGCACTTGCAGTTTCTTACCGGTTCCCCTTCTTCTTTTCTCGGTACAAGGTTTTCCGTAATAGATTTACGAACTATAAGCACAGAGTTTCGACTTTCTTATATGCTTGTAACTAGTAAGCCAACTTGTCTATAAATTTATTCAATAAATTGTATTGACTGAATAAATCTCGCTTACTCCTCATTAAGTGAGATACCGTGCGTACTGTGTCACAATTTTAGTTCAGAGCATCTTGTTTAGTAGTAAACATAGAAAACTTGAAACACCTACATAATCTTTGTATTATATTATTTGTAAAAGAAACTTTGATGAATAAACAAGAGAAAATAAAGAAAACAAAGTTGGTAGATGAAAAAGTGATATAATTTATTAAAAAAGTAACAATTGGCATTTTATTTAAAAAAAGCAAAAAGAAAACAACCGATAAATCAATGGGCAAGCATACAAATATTTTCTCAGCACTAAAACTGTCTGCAATTCATGTTTTGTGAACAATCATGATTACGGTCAGCAATTTAAATACAAACGGGTAGCGTATTTTATGATGCATCAGCAAAATAAACAGCCATGCCGAAAAATAATTATTTGGGTATTAAGATTATACTATTGAACAGCAAAGAAAACCTTTAAATTTTTATTAAAATTATTTAACTCATTTTATTGTATATTTTACTGGGAGTATATTATGATCAGAATTTTATATTTTTATATTATTATATATTGCATTCTGATTTTTTTCAATTAAAATAGTTGTCATATGACCGCAAGACTTAAAATAAGGTACATTTATAGAATAACCAAATGACTATATAAAAAACTAAATAAATCAGTGAAATCAAATGAACATCAACTAAGTGTAATAGACAAAAAAATTGTAAAATTAAGTTAAAAGCAATTGTCAAAAATTCTTACCAGCGTATTTAATTGGCAATGCATCATCTCGTAATTTTATTATATTTAAAGTTCGATCCAAACAACTTTCCCTAAAATAAAGCAGATAAAAGTAACTTTTTCATTCTATTTAATATTTTTTGCTCCAATGGATCTCGGCCATATTCCTCTTTTTGTTTCATCTTTTGGTAATCTAAAATAATGAATATATTTTTAAATAATAAAATTATCGATATAAACCAAATGTTAAAGTAACAACACTAGCCATGTAAACAACATTATTTACGGACCGAAATATTATAAAAATATAAACGAAAAGAGCAATATAACATAAATAGAACACGCCAAAATACGATATGTATCGATTTATACACGCAATCATTTTCAGAATAACTTACTTACGTTTTAAATACTGTTTTTCTAAGAAAGTGTTTAACTTACCGTTGAAACGTAATATTGCTCGGTTTGCTAATATCGATGACGCACAACCAATTACACTGCACCTAGGCATTGTTTTGCATAAATAATTTAAAATTTTCTGCCATGAAAGTCATATAAATTAAAGTTATAAATGAAAATAACCACAAAACTTATAACACTGACAGCTGGACTACTTCCGAGAATACGCACTGCAACTTTTCAAATGGCGGACAGGTGGTACGATAGCTATAGGTCATGACGTCACGTAAAAAAATTTGAACTGTCACAATAGTGCGATCTTTGTTTACTAAAGAAACTTCTTATTAGTTAAAAAAAGACAACATGATGTTTTCGATGTCAACTTCAGATTGCATGATATTTTTATAACCATAGAAAATATTTCCACTCTACCTTATCTCTATGATATTAACCTATTTCTACAAATTAGGGATGGTCGATATTCATCGATGTGTAGCTAGAAAACATCGATGTTTATGAATAAAACGTCAACATATCCTTAGGGCCATCTAACGTGGTCTAATGTACTAGCTATCTAGCATAAAATAGTTGAACTTGATATTATCTCGTATATCAAGAACAATAATTCTATACTAGATGTCACGGGTTGCACTCGTAACCAGAGTAAACAAGCAAATAAATATATAACATCACCTACATTGCTCAGATTCCAAGATGAGTTGCTAAAGCCCCCGTATTATGGAGTGTCTGAGACAACGAAGGTATCACATCACCCAGACCCGAGACAATATAGAAAAGTTCATTTTCTACATTGACCCGACCGGGAATCGAACCCGGGACCTCAGAGATGGCGACACCTTGAAACCGGCGTGCGAACCTCTCGGCTACGGAGGTCGTAACTAAATATTTTTTTCTTTGCTTGCGTGTAACTAGGAAATTAAATCTGCCAACTTCAGCGCTCATTGGTACCTTATAAGTTACTTTATGCACGTTGGGCTTGTTCTCACGCCGCAAGACCGACGTGTGTTTTTATGTGACACTTGTCTTATTTCGAGTTATGAAGCGAAAGAAATAAGTGAATTTAAGTTGCTGTATTTTTTAATTAATAACAATGAAACTTCGGAATCGACAACAGAGGTATGATAAATTATTGATTTGGTTTATTATTTCTTTGCCCAGCAAACTTGTATTTTTGAAGTAATTTAACCAATAACGCACTTCAATGACTGTTACGATTTCATAGGTTATTTTGAGAATATAAATAAATAAGTTAGCCTTAAGAAGATTACGATACTAACTCATGCTGCTTTTGTTTTGCATTAAAAGTGTGAAGCGTCAATTAAATTATTTTTACTTATTATACTTTATGTTCAATTTAAAAAAAATGAAATTCTACAAGGAAACGTTTTGACTGAATTTTATGTTTCTTTGCAGGCATCAAATCATTTCGAATCTCAAAGAAGTACTTTTTTTTAATTGCCAGGGATTTTTAATAAAGAGTAATGATAGTAATGATTCTAACGCGAAATGCCGGCCTTGTGGAAAAAAATTAAAAACCTGTGGTAATACATACAACTTGAAATGTAATTTAGAAGAGAAACATCCAAATTTAATGCCTAATGACGAACTTAAGGTACTACACCATCCCCAATTGTAGCATCAATCGTCAAAGAATCCAGTATTATACCTTCAACTAGTACAGATAAATGGAAACGTGGGGGTCAGAGAGGAATTGCGATTCCGAAAAAAGTTACAATGACAGAAACTCATTATCACAACCAATTTTTAAGCTCTGGCCTTAGAAAAATATACCAATATGATGAAATGGGCTAATTTTTTAACGTTGTTTAAGCAATGTGTTAAAGCTAGTGAGGCGAGAATCAGATTTAAAACTGATCCAAGATGTTTTCACACGATGAAATTCGCCATTTTATATGATTGAGAGATTTTTAAAACTGCCTAAATCAATAATATTATTAATTGCCACACCAGGGATTGTGAATGCAAAACAAATTATGAATTTAACTGAAGCATATGAGATTATTACACGTGAAGTCTGCAGTGAAAAGTATATAGTCTGCAGCAATCTTACCCACTTCCCACTAACCAGGTTACTTACCATGAAACTAACTGGATGCCAACCAAAACAAACAATCGTAGAGAGTTTTAAAAATAACGTTGTTGTAGAAATCAAACCACCGAAAAGTAAAGTCAAAGTTTTACCTATTTTATCTCTTTAATTTTTACCAAATGAATACAACGAACACCATTGATATATATACTAGGAGTTAATATAGATGAGAGAACTATAAAGAATAAATGTTCTTAATATACCGTAGCTTAAACAAATATTGATAAAATATATGCATTACTTACAAATAACTACATATCGGCTAAGTATATAGATAATAAACGGATTTTTAATTATAATTAACGTTTTATGTCTTTTGTTGCTTGTTAATAATCCCTATTCATTCACCATACATAGTATAAAAATATTATTGAGTCTTGATGTAGTTTTGTTGTTGTAAGTTTAACAAACAACTGATACCAATAAAACTAACTTACCTAGTTGTAAATGTTTTCAGTGCTTTTGGTAAATATTATAATGAAAAATTCCTAGACCCACTATGGCATAAGTATTTTATTTATAAAAGTATTTGGTGGTAATATTTTTGTATACCGTAGCTAAATGCCACTTTTTATTATATCACAGCATTAAATCAATTGATTTCCATGAATTTAAAAAAAAACCTCTGTGCTCACTTCCATTATGTTAGTTTCCATTTTCCTCTATACAAATATATTCAAAGATTACTTTGTATTAATCGAGTTGCGTTTGCATATCTCAAACTAATTAAATTTCAACTCGATATTAATCCGAGTTATCAGATCCATAACAACATTGATAATTATATTCTCTTTGGTTTAACGTCATGAATAGGGATGATAACTAATTTTTGTTTGTTTGTCCGTCAGGTAGAGTGTTAAAAAATATTAAACACGTGTTTTTTTATTTTTTCGTAATCATAAAATTACGGCGTTACATGGAGTTGAAATTTCGCATGACGTCACGTTAGGGTACGTTTTCTACTCAACTGTGACGTAGCGAGCCCCCACTCTTCAACTTTAATGCCTGTTATCTAAGCTATATATTGTTAAATTGAAGTAAAAAAATACGTATCTAATATTTTCTATTATCTGACTGACGGACTAAATAGAATTGCATTTTTTTTTACCCAGTCATCATCCATATTGAAGTTTAGATCCAACAATTTGTGCTGCCATCTAGTGACATAAATTGTTGTAGTTTCTTTATTTTTTTTAAATACTTCCTCATTTTATCGAGTTTGCCAAAGTTATATTAAATCATCATATAAATTATCGAATTATATAAGTTACAATAAATATCGATTATCAGTATATCGAAAATTAAAAATATCGCTGAAATAAATATCATTTTTTTTATAAATCGATTATTTTTTCCAAGCCTGCTCCGCAGGCTCATGACTTTTCCGGAAGGTGGATACAGCAGTGCACAAGTCTGTCATATTGGACCGGAAAAAATCGGACCGCCGGTTCTGGAAATTCAGTGTAGTGCACAAGCGCCCTCACACATCAGTATGTAACATATGTAATGATCTAAACTCTACTTATTTTAAACAAAAAAATTAAATCAAGTTTGTAAACAAACATTTTACAAAAGGAAACTCGACACCATCAAAATTATTCCTAAACGAAAGGAAGATAAGCAAACGTTACAATAAATATGACAACTGTTTTGTTTTTGAACAGTTTTGTTTGACAAGTGACATTTCCATTTTATCGGTTGTCGAGCTCGGTTGTTTGAGGACAGAGATAGAGCTTCCTGCGGTTTTGCTCGATATCTTGGGTGTGTTCGTCGTTTATGAGTGACTATTACTTTGCTTTTTGAATAATAGTTTTCGTGAAAACAAAGTAAGTGTAGTGTGCATTATGTTACGGTTCTTGTTGGACTCATTTTGGAACGAAGATGTGTGGTTACCGCCGAATACGACTTGGGAAGATATCGCTCCTGGGGCTGATAAAGCCGTGGTTTACCCCAAATACTGGGATGTTCTGTACGCAATACCCCTGGCTCTCGTGCTCATAGCATTCAGATATGTGCTGAACAAGTAAGCTAACAAATTTGCTTTAATTTTCAAATGTGTTTCAGTTCATTGAAGAACAATTTGTATGTTACGCTTGGCCAATCAATTTGCCGTTATTATCAATACAGCTATATTTTTGCATATTTTTATTATTATTCCGTTATCCTTTTAAATGGTTTTATGCAGTAAATATTAAAACTAGAACTGCAGTTGCAGTGATAATGAGATATAATTTCTGCTTTATAAAATATGTACAATGTTTACATTATTACAATATCTTTTCATTGTTAACTGTTAATTTTCTGTTTTGTTTTAGATATTGGTTCACACCATTTGGATTGTCACTGGGTATAAAGAATACCAGATCCAAAAAAGCCCCTTCGAATCCAAAATTAGAAGCAGCATATCAACAAACACCTAAAATCAAACATAAGCAGGTATGGATAATTAAATATTCTTTTTTTTTTTCATTTAAAAGGTATATATCTTAATGAATTTTCAAACAATTTATTTTGGTAGATAGATTTATTTATAAAAAGCATAGCTAAAGAAAACAAGTCACATAACTTTAGACATTTACAGAAATCTATGCTTTTTCTTACTAACATATATACTGGTCAATCAACATGTCTATATTATTGTATTCTATCATACATACCAGTATCTACTAATTTCTTCCATCAATGTGATGATAATAAATAAATGTTATCTTAATCATGCATGAATATTAGTGTCCAATAATAGTAATTGATTTGAAACTGCATTATGTATGCGCTAGTATTGGTGTTACTGTATGCTAGTATGTGTTGTATGAGTAAAGAATGTCATGAAAAAAAATATTTTGTTCCACTTTTGCTTAATAGGAAGTTTGTATCCATCTATTCTAGTAACATAACTTATAAACCCATTTTCTTTTGTCACAGAAATAACATTATTAAAATTTATATTGTATTACCTATAACTTAATTTAATATTATATGGAGATATTACATTTCTTCTTTTTTAATAATCTTCTGTGTTACAAATCAGTGTCAATGCAATTAATATCTTGGAAAACAATTACAATATAAATAGACCTATCAAAACTATCAGCTGTTTTTATAGTTTATTAATGATACTAATAATAGAGATTAATCGCGTTCGCCAGGGGCTTCACCCGTGTGGTCCCTAAGGTAATGTTTAGTGAAATTATCCTATTACCTAAGTCAGCTAATACCCTGTCTGTATGCCAAATTTCATTGAAATCCATTCAGTAGTTTCGGACAAACATCCAAACAAAGAAACTCACATTTATAATATCAATACAGATTATTAACAGTGATAGTTTGGATAGAAATGTTGATTGCAAGACTATAGTTGGTCTTATGCTTTCATGTTACAAATGCATAATGGAGATTTAATATTTTCAGCATTTACCAACAATGGCTGTTATGTGAAAAACCTATTTTTTAATATTTCAGTTGAATCCTTTGAAATATATTTTAGAAAGTTGTTAAATGTTCATTTTGGTGTCACATTATAAATGTTACTCTGTTGCTTGTGTGCTTTCAAATTGGTAACTGTGCTTGTTTTCATTTCAGTTGTTTTTGAGCAAGGATGAGGTAATTTATGAACACTTAAATAATAAATAGTTATTATTAATCTCACAATTTGGCATAATTAGAGATCATTTTGTTTTTATGCTTTGAAGAGCTATATGACAAGCTCCATTTTTATTTTATTAAGTGTTAGATCATTCACGTAATTCTTGCTTTATATTCAAAATTTTTGTTTAGTGCATCTCAGTTCATAGAGTTAATTGACTATGTTGAATTAGGGGAGAACGGGGCCACAATTAACAAAAAAATATTTTTAATTGCAGTTAATTTAATATTTAAATATTCAGATTGGATTTTTGTCTTCCATGGGACTTTAATTATTTGAGCATTGACTAGCTATGACAAATCAAACATAACCAGTGGCATAACTATATATACAGTTTGAGGCCCACAGCAAATTCATCGGATATTCAATTTTTTTCCTAATTGCCAAATAATAAATGTCAGGTGTAAGGAGTCTCTTCTGACCAGGGGCCCATTCCAGCCACTGAGCATAACAGAAATTATGTGGTTAACAAAACTCTTTTTCTCAAAAAAGTCTGTTGTTAATTCTAACCACCTGTTTTGGGAATTAACAGATTTCAGGTAAATATTTACAGAAGGAATATTAAAATTTACATTATGGCACATGAACCTCATTCGAGTGCCTTAGAAAACTATCACCAGGATCACTCATAAAGTTACAAATGATAATTCACTTTATAGCAATCAATTTTATTACCTCACAAATCAACTTAATTAATCCACTTAACAATTAAAGAAACAGTAATTTGTTACTCACAATTATTCACCACTTTCGGCGTCTTCCAAAAAGGTAATATCACAGAAATGGTTGCCCATTATAAAATACACTCCCGGAAATACAACCATACGTCAAATTAAAATATTTTGAATCTATATTTTAGTAAATGAACAATTGTTGTGAAAATTCAAAAATAAATTAATAACATTTTTAAAACATTATTGCAAGTTTTATTTCTATCGAATTCAAATATAAAACAATCAAACTTACTAATAATATCAGGAACTCTGACGCTAGATGGCATACCCGTCGTATGACCGAATAATGAAATAATCATTTTCACATTAACTAACGTAATTGTAAGAAATTTTAACAGACGAACATTTGTGATTTAACAGCGTATTAAAATTATAAGGAATATACATTGAAAAATACAATAATACTTATCTTCATCCTCTGAATCATTATTTAAATTTATCATAATTTTTTCACTTTGTTTACTTTTCCCTCGTTATTTATTTTTCCATATCATTGAGTCTTGCTTTTACCCTTCCTTTGTCTTTCTTGTTATTTAAGTTTAGGTTTGTTGCTGACTTTTTTTTCTTTTTTACTTCTCTAATGTTATGATCTTCTTCTAAATCATTATTTTCTGGAGTATCTGTCAGAATAGCAGAGTTTCTTGCTCGTTTACGATTAGACGGAGTTCGTGTTGGAGCTTTTGGTAGAGAACTTACGGTTTCAACTGTGAAAACATTAGCACCTTCTGCATGCCTGATGTTCCAGCTACTGGCTTATCAACGATGAAATCACTAACACCTTTCTGCATGCCCGATGGTCCAGCTACTGGTTCATTGAATATATGCGTAGCAGAGCTCAAATTCTTTTGCTGTATTTTCTGTATTTCTCAATCACTTCTAATGCAGCCAACTCGCAGACCTCCAAGGACATGGTGACTCGCGTAGTTTTTCGTTCTCATGCTGTCATAAAAAAACGTAATAAAGTATGTAATAATAAAACAGAAAGTTTGAATTATACAAAAACATTTAGTTGCTCTATTTATACAAGCCCCCAATCCGGGGTAATTATTAACATGTTCATACAAACCCCGGTGATTTTTAGTTATAACCTCAAAGGTACATTTTGAGCACCAAATAACATAATAAAATATTCGTCAATAGTTCCTTCAATTACTCAATATTTATTAATATAGCATTATAGTATAAAAATTGTAACTAGGGAAATCAAAATCTTAGTTGTAATACTTATTATTCTTGTATAAATAAAAAAATGGTAAAATTGAACATGTTCGTTACCTGCGAAAAACGACGCACTGGATGTGTAGTGTGTATAGTTTTAAAGAAATCTGCTTGTTAATACCTCCGTTAATTGTAGCCCACCGGTCTCCCCTACTTGTAGAATAAAAATATTATATTTATTTTATAACCATTTAGATAGAAAGTAATGATAAAAGGATTATATTTCTTACACCAGAGCTAGTTTGCAATTAAAAATATTAATTCATTAACTTTTAGGTAAGTAGCAATTTAGTAAATCTTACTGTTACTTTTCCTATAAAACAAGGCAAAATATACTGGAACTATGGGTTTATCATGTGATAAGCATTTTATTAATAGTAAGTATTTTAATGTACTTAGGCGAGGTTTCGTACGTTTTCATACAAATCACTTAAAAATTCGTGTCTTTCGTCTCCTTATACAATTCTGCCCGAGGCACTTTCAGAGATATATTAAAACCCTATGGAGAGGCTATATCTAATGAACCTTTTCTTAGGAATGAACTTCTGGGTCTTTTCCCAAGGCCCGAGTGTTTGAGCAGCACTTGGTCTCCCCCCCTCGCGGGCGAGGCAGGAAGTGAAACAATTTTATAAATACTCTATAAATTACGAGTACATATATATCTTGGTCGACCATATCTATCACCTGCTTCTATCACAAATAACATTACGAAACTAAGGAAATATGAGTCCTATCGCATCGTAACGTTGAACTTAAAACCTACCTTTTGAAGACGTTTCGTTAATAAAGCTTAATTCGTAATAAAGCAAATCCTCCATAGTCTCTCTATTATCACATGCTCAAGATAATCATGAGAAGATTCCTATTCCTTATCTGGTCGTGTACTGATAAGGTAATCAGCAAATGATGGTTATGAGGTTGTTCCATATTCTTGGCCATATAAATCCTTATACATTCGTGGCGACTTCTGTCGTGTTTTAAACCACTTACATTATCAAATTTTTTTTTTTTTTTGGATTTGACGATTGAAAACATTTACATGTTTTAAATTGTATATAAGTACGGTGCGAGGTTTAAAATTTTCGGTCCCACCCGACATCAATTCAAACTAAGATATATTTGACGGCCAGACTTGACAGAGTGGTTTAACGCCGGTTTGGAGGTGTCGCTATCTGTGAGCTCTCGAGCTCGATTCCCTGTCTGTTCGGTGTTCGGTGATGTGGAAAATGAACTTCTCTGTATAGTTTCAAGTCTGAGTGCTGTGCTATATTCGTTGTTACAGATAACCATAATACAAGTGCTAAAAACTACTTAATTTGGCATCTGAGCAAAGTATATGATGTTACCTAATATTTCTTTATATTTATTCAGTAAACCGGTTCTCAACCTTATTTCCACTAGACGGAAATCAAATAATTTAATCTTCATTAGCGATTCACGAGGGTACAGTCTCGCATCCCTGGCTTTAGTCAAGGGGCGGTCTGGTGGGTTAGCGCGCTCACCGGGCATTGCACGCCCCTTGTCTGGAGGGTTAGACTCTTATGTTCCTGAGTCTTTCCCCCAACCCGTGAATGGACCCGCCTCGCAAGAGATAGACCGAAACGTGGGCGGATCGCGCGGTATATGGTCCCGTTTCGAGACCCATGCCGTGTGCAGCCCGCGCAGAGAGAGACATCTTAACAAACTTAAGAAAATATTAGAAGATTTTTGACTTCGCACGCTTTGAAAGCCGTTATCGCTTTTTGCCGCCAAATGCTAGATCGAGAATATTGTGCAACATGCTATCTTTGACAGAAATGAATACAGCTTCAAAAACTTCCAGGACATCCCAGGACTCTATAAAAACAGAACATGTCCTCGGAAAACAGACTGGTTGGCAGCTCTACAGTAACATAATGAAACTTTTTAATATTCCGCCTTTCTGGAAAACACTTGAAATTCAATTCTTTCTTAATTTTTATTCATAGGAACTGTATCCTGTTGGCATGGACTTAAAGTTCAGAATCTATATATCACGATAAATGCTGTACTACTTATATTAAAAACTAGTTAATTTCGAGTTGTTTCACGTCAGTTCTGACCTTGGATGCCTGACGTTTCAATTACAGAAATCGATTTTCTATTGCATAGATTCTTCTTTGTACACTTAAATTGATTTATTACCGAAGCAGCTGTTTTCCCGAGACTCATCCGGGTCAATTATTAATACAGCCTACGCTACCCGCGTATGATGTAAAGCTACATCATACGCGGATGTGAAAGAATTTAAAAAAGAATTGAAATAAGAATTTTTAAATATATAATATAACATCTACCTACTTTTATACTTATTTATATACTTTTTTATTCTTAAGTAAAGGCAGTTATTTATCTGTCGTTTGACACAGAGTATACACATTGTAGTTACCTATACACTTGGAATTTCGCAGGGTATCACTAAGGGCTCCATCACGACACACGAGTACGAATAAAAAAGATAATTAATGTTAACATTGAGCGGTACGGTACGGTAATGGATTTAACATAGGAAGCAAGTAAAACACGCACTAAGATTTTAGTGTATTTTTAAGAGATTCTTAGATTTTATAGCCTTTCGACCGCGACCTTTAATTATTGACGCCGAAGGAGGTGAAAGAAACTGTCAGATGCTTCCCTGGCTATATCAGATAAGATTTTTTGGGCTAACATTCGATCCACTTTTGGCAATCCCAGTACACATTATTTCTTTTTTAAATACAATAACATTGAGTGTATAAACGAAGAAAATAAACAAGTTCGTCTGCTTTGGGTTCGAATTAATTTATATTTCGATCACAAGAAAATTTATATTCCTACAGGTG